TTTTAAGACTTCTTACTATGCTTCTTATATGTGTGAAATTTGGTAAAATTCGTTCCAGTAATAAGCGAGATAGCCTCCAGGTGTAAACCCCCCCTTAAATACAAATTAAAACATTCTGTACTGCTTATTATATCTGTATTATCCTCTTAAAGTTAAAGTGCCACACTTGAAACATCGTTGAGCATGGTTCTCAATCAAAGATATGTACTATCATTGTCTCAGTTTGTTCACACGATACTACTACGTACTTTTTAATTTTTCATCTTCTGTCTCCGTTGGCGCCGATTCGAGTGGAAGTGCTGTTTTCTATGGTACGATAGGCCAAATCTGCAGCTCTTTCAATGGAGACGTATTGTTATTTCTCCGGTTCCCTTGACTCCCTCATTCCATCTCTACTTCTTCTTTTGTGACTTGAGTACTTATCTGGTGTTACAGGCTCCCAAGGCAAGCTGACTGGTGTGGGTGTCACTCGTAACAAGTGGCCAAATAATATTTCCACGATAGTACCGAAGAACGAATGGTTAACAATACTGCGATATTTCTATCCTTCAAGCTAATAGTATCGATATCTATGCAGTATCGTGTATCGAGACTAGTTCTTCTGACTTGTGAGGAAGAAAAAGCTCGTCTGTCAGTCAGTCAGTCAAGACAAGCATGGTAAACATGGGGAAACGAAAACGCACAGCACAGGATACAAATGAAGCGAAAACCAAGAAATCCAAGAAAGATGTTGTGATTCCTGCTGTGGTGTCATCAGACGCCCCTGTAGAACGACAGGTAATTGTAATATATGAATTATTAACGACAGTTCGCTTTATTTTTCACCACAACTTAAAATCAAAACTAGAAATCTAGATCTAGAATCTAGTCTAATCTAGATCTAGATCTAGATCTACTAGATCTAAGATTTCTAATAGATTCTAGATCTAGAATGAGTGGCTATTCTCACCCTGGCTATTCTCACCTGGGGTGAGAATAGAAATACGATCGACCTCTCACCCCGGGTGAGACTTGCCATCGAAGGCTATTCTCACCCGGTGTGAAACAAGACCTGTTTTTCCTAATTTCGGAATACTTTGTGGATGATCAAATGGATAAAGGCAAAGAAAAGATTACGTTAGGCCTATAGCACAAAAGTAAGCTAATTTTATCGACTACAAAAATACAAAGATGCTATGGCTATTTCACTTTTCGAATCGAGCCGAACTGCGGGGATCGCCATTTTGTTTTACCCGCAAGTTCTCCAGGGCTCTCAGACTTCCGCGAATTTCCGGGGCTGAGATCAGCGGCCGCGGAATCGCTGAGCATCGCGCTGTCATGTTTCCGTCGAGAGAACAACAAAGTCTGGAAGATGGCGTATCACGTTCTCTCAAAGAGTGAAGAGGCCATTGTGAAAGAAATAGACAAAGATCGCAAGAATAAGTGGAAGTATCAGTGGTTAGAAGATGTGGTGAATGTGAGGTGACAATCAATGGAGTAGATTTCCAAGCAAAGGTAGGCGATAGCATTGCCAAGATAAACATCAGTGGTAAAGCCTTTTATGCAAGTGGTGCAATTCGTTACTTACATACAAAGGAAAGGGTGCGAGTACATTGAAAGAACGTCTGAGAACCGAGGAACACATCGCCCAGATCAAGACTCGGCAGTCGAATTACAGCCTTGGGAGCTTTGTGAACCCATCCAAAAAGGTTTTCCCAATTTTTGGATCCCCTAAAGTTTCCCAAGTGCAAGAAGTAACATCAGATTCAAATGAGAAAGATGGAGGAGGTGATACTAGATATCTAGATCTAGATCTAGCTCGAGTCAACCCAAGCCAGTGCCTATGATTCCGCTATGTTTGCAGACCTGTCACTCATCCCGATTTAATCAGGATATCCCGATTTTTTGCCCCAAATCTCAAGCATCCCGATTTTCCCGATTTCGATCGCCAGTACCCTGATTTTTTTCGTTGCGTCTGTTGCATCCGATTCTTAGAAAAAATATATAAAGTTTTGCAATCTCTTTTGCTTGGAAGCACTGATTGGATTTTTTATCGGCAGGAGCATGACTTGGAACGCTATTTTCTAAAGCATGTATACCGAATCTAGAAGACTCACCCACGGTATTTCAACTAAAATCGACGTAGTATCAATTTTGAATTCTGACTTGGATACGCTCAAGATCTACTTTCGCCAGAATTCTCCGATGGTGTCTTGATTACTGTATGTAACAATTATGACATGGGCCTAAAAATAAGCTATTCGTTGTTTAGCCGTTGCTTTAAAAGTAATAAAAGCAAGCTTTGTCTGGGTGCTGGTTATTCGGGCCCATCATCAAAACATGTCAGTGAAACTTTCAAACGCTCATTCGCATCACGTAACCTGACCTCGTACGTGTGAGTAGTGCGTGTGTCTGGGACCGTTGGCTGTCGAGGTCAACAAAGTTCATTCACACCGGTCGCATTGGTCGAGGTGTTTTGGGGACTTAACCGGGGGGGGGTATTTTTTTTTTCACTTGGGCTTAAAGTGTGTGCCGTGATACAGGTGCTAATTGAGGGGAAAGGAATAACAAAAAATAAATAAATGAACAACCTTGGCGAGATTTTTTTTTTCCGGGGCGGGGGTGGGGGAGGTGCCTTGAGTGAATATGCGATGGAAGTCAAACGTTTTTACTGTATGACAACGCGGGCTTTTTGCATGGACGATTTGAGTTATGTGCCATCTGTTTTCAAGACTATGAGAGTTTCAGCATTACTGCAACCTGCGCTCCCCCAGTTTATCCAACTCCGACTTGAGTACATATTATGCTGTCTTTCAGTTTTCTCTCTATTTAGAGGCCCAAACGTGAAATTATTCCTTCAAAAGTTTTGTCTTGCATACTTGCCCCACGAGGGGGAACCATGACCCCCCCCCTCCTCCCCAGTGCCCCTTATCACTGATTTGCCGTTGATCCCGATTTTTTTCACTAGATGCTGATTTTTTAACTCTAAAATCCTGATTTTTAGACTTCATAGAGTGGCAGGTCTGTGTTTGTAGGCCTACTTGTGCACTTTGTTGCGTCTATCGCGATCCTCCGACAAAGTTCAGGGGTTGGGAAAATTTTTCATTGGGAGCCCTGGTTCTCGCAAGATCTACTCCTCCCCTCTTCTCTCTCTCTCTGTCTCTTTCTGAATACTGTCTATCAGTATGGACGGTCAAATTGACCAAAACAAAGTTTAAAAATGATGGTAAAACACAAAAAAGTAAATCAATTTGGTCGTCTACAAAGATGCTACGGCTATTTAACTTTTCGAATCGAGCCGAACTATGCGGATCGCCATTTTGTTTTGCCCGGAAGTTCTCGTGGTACTCCTCCTCTCTCTTTCTCTCTCTCTCTCTCTCTCCACTGCCCACAGACAAAATTGTACGCTTTTTGTAGGCTAACAGTAGTAATGGAACGTTTGTTCACGGCACAGAATTCTACAATTTTTCTCTTATCACAGTGCAGAATTCTGTGGTTTAGGGTGAACGCGCACCGGGTGAGAATAGCCAAAAGACTCGCCTGCACTATTCTCACCCGGGGCGAGAATAGAACATGCTACTACACGCAGGGCGTAAACCGGGCTGTGATTGGCTGAACCTGTGGGTACTCTGGGAATTCCCGGTTTCGCCGCTTTTCGGTCTCTCGCCTTTGACCATCTTCTCGCAGCGGGTTGAGTACTCATGGAATGGAAGAAGAAGAAGGAGAATTGAGGAGGAAGAGGTGTAGATGGAGAAGGAGAAATGAGGAGGGGAGAGGGAGAAGAAGGAGAATTGAGGAGGAGGTAGGGAGGAATTGAAGAAGAAGAAGGGCAGGGACGAGAAGGAGGAGGAGAACAAGAAGAGGATTGAAGAAATGGAAGGACTTCCGTAACGAGCGACCACCCCATCAAACACAATAAAGAAGAGGCCTTACCCTTACCCAAACCCTAACCCTAACCCTAGCCCTCAATTTTGCTCTGTCTCATAGTGGTCGCTTGTTACGGAAGTCCTCCCGAAGAAATAGAAGAAGGAGATAAAGAAGAAGAATCTAGGTCTTGAATCTAGAAGTAGATCAAATACACATGTTTCAAATTGGGGACTTTGTTTCGTTTGTTACCCTACCTTGGGAAAGAGTGAGACTGGGAGAGCAGAGAGAGAGGGTGGTGAGAGTGACACTGACAGAGAGGGTGTCGTCGAGAGCGCCAAGAGTAGCCTACCGAAGGCCTTAATGTATTCACGGGTCGCGTGTAGTCGCATGTGATTCTAGACGGATCCGGATTCTAGATCTATATCTAGTATAGTAGGCTACATTTTGAAACAGTTGTCGATAAATTTAACTGAACTAAGTAATATGAATCGTACCATGTAGATCTAGGGCCTCCTCTCTATTCGGACCCTGTTTGCCTTTACCATGATAGGCCAACCAGTTTAGGGTTCACCATGAGAGAGGAGCAGTGCGAGAACTTCCTGGCAAAACAAAATGGCGGCCCGCGTAGTTCTGCTTGATTCGAAAAGTGAAATAGCTGTAGCACTTTGTAGACAACCAAATTAATTTACTTCACAAGTGTTTTAACACCATTTTTTATCCTTGTTTTTGTCAATTTGATTGTCCACTCCGATAGAAGACAGTATTCAGAAAGAAAGAGAGAGGGAATACTGGTAGATCTTGCAAGAGCTTCCGGGCAAAACAAAATGGTAGCGTCAATTGCCACAGAGTGACGCGGTGGCAAGTGACAAAAATTGACTTTTTGTCAATTGCCACCGAGTGAAGCGGTGTCAAGTCTGAAAACAACACTATCTTTAGCATTATACATAATGTGTGTCTAATGGATCAATCTGTTCTCAATAATTTCATTGGACGAGCATCTAGTCTAGAGCTACGGTACCAACTTGGCGTGTTTTCAATGAAACGTAGGCCTAGATCTTGGCTAGTCTTAGCCTACACTTTGGTGTAGAACCAACACAGGCAATTCTTGAAGTAGAAGGTCACAAACGCACACAAACTCAAGCAGAAATTCATGTTATATCGGGGAACATAAATCGGGGGATGGGGGTGAGGAAAAGACACACACACACACACACAAACACACATACACACAGAGGGACAGAAAGGCGAACGCACAACACCGAGCACTCGAGCACAATAAGATAGATCTACCCACCAACGCAAAAGAGCTCCAATTTACTCGGTGGCAATTGACAAAAAGACAATTTTTGTCAATTGACACTACCTTTGGCGACCCACGTAGTTCGGCTTGATTCGAAAAGTGAAATAGCCGTAGCATCTTTGTAGAAGACCAAATTAGCTTACTTTTGTGCTATAACATTTTTTCTTTGTTTTTGTCTATTTGAATTTGATCATCCACACCAATAGACAGTATTCTGAAATTTAAAAAAACAGATTTTATTTCACATTAGGTGAGAATAGCCAACACTGGCTAGTCTCACCCGCGGTGAGAGGTCAATCGTTTTTATATTCTCACCTGGGGTGAAGACAGCCACTTCCTAGATCTAGATCTACTATGACTAACTTAAGATAGGCCTTGATCTAGTCTAGTTCGAGGTCTAGATCTAGGTTCTAGATCTAATCTTCTCTATGTGATGCGTTTTACGAAACTTAGGTAGATTCTGGGTGTCCAGCAAGGTAGTAAAAAAGTTGTAAATTAAGTGGTAGTAAATGTGCCGTGACAGTAATAGTAAACATTTGGTAAACAGTGATAGTCGTAAATTAACCTCGTATGGAGTGATGAAGCCAGCAAGACTTTTCAGTGAACCCTAGCCGCGGTGCATGACTCCGTTTTTACCGCTCGCGATTTGATGTAATATTCGTTCACGTGAAAAGGCAGCTATGACGGCAGGCGGCTTGATCGGGAAAACCAAGATCTACTTTCGCTTTCGTTACCACCCAGAATTTTGCGGGCGATAGACTGATAACCCAACATTGTGACATGCGGTATGCAGGTTGTGCAGTATAAACACTGTGTCGCCGTGCAAATAAAATTTAATCAATACTCGGACTCGTCACCCTACTGTTACTTGTGAGAAAAAAGAAAAGAAAATACATTACAAGCGTCATCCGATTTATTTTAGATTGTGGAGCTCACCATTGTGACCGGTCAGTGAACCTGCGCGTGTGAGCTGTGGCGCCAAAGTTCATTCAAAGTCTGAGCGTTGCTAAGTGTAGGACTACTGAATTGGGCAGGGGATTATTGATTTTAAAAAAAAGATATTTGGGAAGGGGAGGTGGTGCTGAAGGCAACACCAGAGGACAATAACTTGGAAGCAGATTTCAGAATTTTGACTAGATTTAGAGCTCTCTGCAAAGCGCGCGTTGGTGCAGAACGTATGTGGAATCGGGATCCTTCATACTTGGTAAGCCGTGTTATTGAACTAATGTGTTCGCATTTCATTAGGTGGGTGATAGTAAATTACAACAATATTGTAGCTTTCTGTTCGAGACTATGTTCTTGTGTTCCTAAGTAAAAATTGCTAAACTGCAATGGGCCACACATATGAGAGCCATAGACAGTCTCTGAATGGGCTTTGTCCTGTCTGTTGGCGTTTAAATTTAACTGTCAAACAAAAAAAAGTACAGAAAGCCCCAATTTAAGGCAATGGCAGGAGATATTCTCTAGATTTATGGGGTTGGTGTGAGGGACGAAGATGAACAGTCGTATTCTGCAAACATTTGTGTCAAGTATTTTACCCCGATTTCAACTATCAAAAGGAGATTAGGTATTACATCACGTCAGTTCAAGCCGCAAAAAAGCTGTTGAAGCTAGTAGGAACATGTGGTGTGCCTTTGACAATAACATAAATGTGAACCCCTACTCCATTTGTCGGCATCGCTTGAGTCTTGTTGGTGGCTGCACACAAATATCCATTTTAAGCAAACATCGCATCACTCCCCAAGCAGGTCATTCGTGAGCAATCACTGTCACAAGTACCTCCATCCCCATGTATACAAGGAACTAACAAACACAATTTGTACAGAAATAAGAAAATACACCCGCAACACTGCAACAATTGAGGAAACAAGTGGAGTGGAAGCAGTATTCAATCTGCAATATCATATCTCAAATCAGTCAAACAATTTTCACTTCCCGAAATCCTGGTAGTGATCGACAATTACATGGCCTCTTTCAGACGCTATTTCCCAGCCAAAGTCATCCCAAAGCAACACTGTATTCCACACATACAACACATGTTTGCTCTCAGACTTTTGGGAGAACAGGACACCAAGCTATCTCAAAACTGGAAGCCAGAGCATGAGGGGTCCCAAACCAGATAGACAAAATGCGTTTCATTTTTGTGTCACATCTCCTGCAAATAGCACCCTCATTGCGTGCTGCTGGAGATGTTTGGAAATAAACCTTGTTATCATACTTTTATTCTGTGCATGTCCATTTTATGAAAAGAAATCGGTGCTGTATTGAAGATACGTCAGTATATCATTATTGTTATTTAGGAGGATGCACATTTCATTGGATATAAAAAGACATGAACGAAGGGAAGCATTTTAGCTATCATTCTCATGACAAGTTCCATGTTCATGTTGGGGACAAAATTTTTGAGTCAGTCAGTCAATTTTTAAACACATTTTCCTGTCTTTGTAGCAGTTTTGTGAATATTTATCGGTATGCTAATAAATTATTAGCCACTCAAGTACGTGTTTGTTGTTTAGACTAACTACAAATAGACATACATTTTAAGAGCATTTAACTCCAAAATGTTAGCAGCCATGGTATTGCTTCTTCGTACCAATAAAAAAGTAAAGTTGCTTTCTCTAAACGGGGGCTCTCTTGGCCTGGAGGTTAAGGTGTTGGCCTCTCATTCAAAGGTCCCGGGTTCGAATCCGGGTAGCGACCAAAAAATTTTCTTCTCTAAAATTGTCTCCTTTCACCTCCTTTCTTGCTATCTACCAATATTCTGTTGTCTGCTTTCATTTCCATTTTCTGCCCCCACCCCTCACCCCTTTGCCCCCTCCTCTGGGCTCCTGACTCTTTCTGCAGCCTTTCTACTGCTACTCCTTGGCTCCTCCTTACTGCTGTCTTTCTGCCACACCCCTGATCTTCTGGTAGGAAAGATCTACACCTAGCCTTCTCGGACAAGGGCGAAAAATCTCGGAGGGCCCGTGTGCAAGTTGCGCACGTTAAAGAACCCTTGGTGGTCTAAAATAGATAAGAGTAGGCTTCGGCCGCCACCCGGGCAAAATTCAAAATTTCCTACCAACTGAAAATATTCGATGTGTCCCGCGCGCTCATATGACCTATGCATTTGCGAGCGCCGTAAAACACCTTACAAAAACAAAAATTTCTCTAAACAACAAACTTGTGTGCACGTATATATTTTTTTTTTGTGTAAGCTGATAAAACGTGTTGAAAAATTAATTTCACCGGCTATCGATACAGGTAGCGAGATGTCGGGTTATAGTGAGTGTGTTAAGAGAAACACAAAGAACACAAGTGATGGATGCACACACGCGGAGAGGAAGGCAGAGAGGTGCACACAGCCGCGCGTGCGGACATAGGATCTAGCCTAGGGCGAAGCTACACACAGACTTTCATTTCATGCTTTTTCAAATTGATTGTTTGTATTCTATTATTACCATGATATGTTGTAAAAATAAATTTAAAAAACCCAAACAAAACTACCGTGGCGAGTAAAAATGACAGTGCACACTTTACCGTGACCACAACTTATGAACAAAGGAAAATAACCCAGGGAATTTTCTACGTGAAAATCTCTAGATTATGTCTTCTTCGCAGTCAAGCATGCTTATGCTTTCTCCCGATGACCGTGCTTGAAGCCGGCAAGGGCTGTAGTATTTAACCAAAATGACATGTTTGTGTTGCAAGTACCAAAAAACTCTGGATATTTTACTTACTTTTTTACTTTTCTGATCCCGCGGCCATCTGGGTTCTGGCACTTTGGCCGGTGAAAACTCCGGATAAAAGTAAACAAAAATCTGTCAACAGATTGAGCCTGAATTTGTATTAAGGAATGTCCTATGCTGTGTGTTCTATGTGGTATCAAATCTATCCACAGACCAAATGGACAAACAAACAAAGAACACTGATTTTTTCCTCACGTGGCATCTCGTACAGGACCCGTCACCTCATGCTAGACTTGAGGAACCTCATGCCACATTCAAAAGCAGGTAACGTATTTGGAGTCTTTTGATTGTGTAATTTGTAATGGAATATGAAGTGACGTCAGTGGGTTAGTGGTTACGCTACCAGACCCATAATCATAAGACTGCAGTTGCAGGGGTTTGAGCCTCATCTCTATCCAATGTTATGTCCTTGAGAAAGGCACTTTACCTGAATTGTCCCCATATGGCTCAGTTCTATCGGAGATGGACGTTAAATTTGAAGGTCCCGCTTTACAGGGGGCATTAAGAAACCTGTACCTGTATACTACATGTTTTCTCGTTTTTTCTGAAATAAAATTATTATAGTGTGTCTAAAAATGTATGAATTAGCAACTGAATGAATATTCACTCGAAATTGTTCTAAAATGGCCACCCATTGTCAAAAGAAAAAATGGCTATCTTAGACAGATGGCCACTTTGCACATGTCATTGTAATATTTTAAAAAACCAGCAAGAGTGGAAGTGGTCATTTGTACAGGTGGTTGATCATTTTATATATAGGTTGGCGTTGGATCAGGTTTGACTGTATTTCCTGGGTGTCACAGGCCATCTACTCAAGTCCATTTTGATACTTTTTTTACCAGAGACAAAAAACTAGTTTATGTTATCACGACAAGCAAGAAAATTGTAGGCTTTGACCATATCATTAAACTACATTTTGATTGTGTTGAAAGTTGCGTCTTTGACAGAGCTTTGGGAGGGTGTAAAAATAAAGAATTCTCAAAGTTTGGACTTAAGTGAATTGCTTGCAACAACGACGATATGTTGGTGCTGTTTGTAGGGTGTTTTGAGGTGTCCGTTTTTCCCTTGGTTATTCCTTCTTTAGGATTTTGCTCTTATTCATTCTTATAATGCCTTTGTACTTTTTTTTCTCTCCAGAACCCAAGATGGACAGAAAAGACAAGCTGTTTATCATAAATGAGGTGAGTTCAAAAGTTAAAGTGATATTTGTCATGGAGGTTTGTTTTAACACTCAAGCTTCGTTTGAATTTCAACAATAAAAGTTTCTCTGCTTTCTGGCTGCACTGAATCTTTGGGTCAGCTTTTCTTGGCCGTATGGGCCAGATGATTTTGTTTATAACAAAAGATGAGATGATATTTTATTGCAATATCTTTGGATGACTCATTTATACCTTACCTGTGTTGTTTCTGTAAAGCGTGTTGATTCATGCTGGACAGGTCTGGTCAATCTTCAGATCAAAGCTGAAATGAATTTCTAGTATGATTATCTAGTTCCTACTGTCTAATACTTCCTCTTGTCTGACAGTTTTAGACCTGCTTTCTTAATGTAGGTGTGTTCTACACCTTCATCAACACAATACAATTAGATAATTTAGGAGGCGAACTACTCTACTGTGTAGCAGAAAGACAGAGGTTCTCAATAAAAATTTCCCCACATGGGACTGAAATTCAGGCCTTGTGCTTGAGAGGGGGAATCACCTAACTTCTACACCAGACACTGGTTGATAATTTCCAGTGCCTTGCTCCTGTTGGTTTAAAAAAACTCAATGTTATTTATAGTAACATAACCATGTTGGCTGTTTCAGATCTGTGAGATGAAGAATTGCAACAAGTGTTTGTACTTTGAGGGAAAGAAAAAGCAGGATGTCTATTTGTGGTGAGTAGTTTGTCATGACGTTTCTGAAGCCCAAAAGATCAAGATGACTGGGGGTTTTATTGTACTTTTAAACATTGACCTCTGGTTGATATTTCTGCTGATAATTTGCGATCTTTGATTGGTATTCCTGCTGAAAGTTTGATTTCTGATAGACAAATTTCTCCTGTTGAAAGTTTGCGATCTCATCTCTGATGTTTCTGCTGAAAGTTTGTGGGCTTTGATTCAGATTCCTTCAGAAAAATCTCTTTGGTCTGAAGTACATCCTGTAGGTCAGCTATGTTTTTACCTACTTGGGGTTTGTTTGGGGGTTGTTGTTTTTTGGTCTTTCTACTACTACGTCGCCAAGCTGTTCAAATGTAGTAAGCCCAGAAAGTAATATTTTCCAGGAGAGAGAAAAAAACTGTTTCTTTCTTTAAACAATTTTACCTACATTATGTGGGTTTTTTTTATTGTTTATATTTTTAGATGAGCAAAATGTTTGTTTAGCCAATAAAACATGATGCCACAGTTTAACTCTTTTCCGGACGTAGTTTTTATTTGGGTCTAGACGTAATTAACTTGTGACCCGATTCGGCTACAGATGTGATGTACAAAATAACTTCATCTAGGGATAAGCATCAGTCAAAGGTTAATATATGAATCAAATTGAAGAAGATTGAATGAGGAATACGTTCCAACACGAAACAAAGATTAATTTTGAACATAATCATGCATTACAAGGGTTAGAATGGGTGATGGTTAAGAGAAAGATACATTTTGACTGAAAAAATTACACTCACCAAACAGGTGGAGGCAAATCAACATAGCTACCTTATCATATACCAGCCGAGAGCATAATCCATAAAAGTTTCTGAATGCGCAGCTTTTTATTTGAAAACTATGTTCCAATTTTTGTTTGAGTTGTGATATTTCTTCATCTTACAACGTTTTGTTGATTCAAGACCACAAAAACTAATTCACTCAGGTTTTCACCCAACCGACACTTTGACAAAGTGGAACTAGATGTTTTTGTTTTCTAAACCCTTTCCAAAAGTTTTCAATAATATAAAGGGCGGATGTTGTTAAAACGAAATAAGTGAGGCGCCCCATCATTGCCGATATAGGTGATGCGTCCGCAGGGGGTGTGGACTCACACTGATACATCGGCGATACGTCTGGAAAGAGTTAACAAAATGCAATTTTTTTTTTTTAATTCAAAATTTTCGGGTTTAGTGGTTAAGTTGAACAGCTGGGCAACAATATGAGTTTAGTATTGCAGGAATGTTTCTACCCTCATAAAATATTTTAATCTTTCATTAAAACCCGTTTTTGAGACATCAGTTATTTAGCTTGTTTTATTGAAATTTTATTTTTGAAATGCGAAATTATATAGTGCGTTAGTTTAGAAATGTGAAATAATTATGTTTCCAGTTGTATTTTTCTGTTTGTACCCCCTCTAGAGATTTTTTTTCCTCTTAACTTCTTTTTCAGGGCTTCTAATGTGCCTAAGGGTCCGTCGGCCAAGTTTCTGGTAGAGAACAGTAAGTGACCGTTGTAGCTTGTGGTACCTTTAGTGAGTTACCTGGGGGGGGAGGTGGTCATTTTGTTTTGTTTTTAATGTAGGGGTTTTTATGCCCCATCAACATAATTTAGGTGGCCGGTTGCAACGCCGCCACTGTCAGGGCAACACGAGACTCCGTTTCTGTTCGGTCATATTTGACTTGTAATTGACAGTAAAATATTCACATTTTTATTTGCAATATTTGAGCAACTTGTCATTAATCTGTCCCCGTAGAATTATGCAAATTTAGATGGCCATATTTTGCACAACAAAAAAAAGCAAAATTATGCAAAAATTATGCAAGTTACCGTAACACCATTCGCGACATGGGTTTGCACTTTTTCTGCAAGAATTTTCATGATTTTCATGTTCTATGTACAGAAAAACTGAAATCAGAACATATCAGCATCAGTAATTTGTTGTGTATATGGAAAGAAAACAATACACATCTGTCAGAAAAAAAAAGCAAAAAATATAATCTCTGTAACTTTCAGTTTCAGCTGTAGATCTAGATCTCTATAGAGGAAAGAAAAATGTAAAAAAAATAATAATAAAAAAGAACATCTGGACCTCTGATGCTGGCACATTACTAAAACCAGGGACACATGTCAAACATGAAACATCAGCTGACATGAGAACAAAATGAGAACAAAAACTTTTGATGGATTGAAAAATTGAACATGCTCAAGGAACAAAATCCCAACCCATAACCAAGATCTTCTAACAAGGGAAATAACCAACTTGTCACTTAAATGAGACTTATTACGGTGATTACTTCCCTTTAGTTACATGGCGAGGGGTTCATTAATTGTTTTGTGAAAAAAATGGAAAATAACGTGAAAAAACGCAGGGAATCCAAAATTATGCAAATGTAGCAGAATTATGAAAAAAACGTGGCCGCGCCGCGGATGCACAATCGCATGATCCTACGAGGACAGATTAATCACATGAAAATTCACAATTTTATTATTATAAGTAATTTTATTTGTGCAAAACACGTTTATTTGTTGCTGTTAGATTTTTACATAATAACTCTCTACTGTGATTCCGGAAACTCTTATTTTTTTTTCCTCCTAGTTTTGGGAGAGGGTTTTGCAGAAAACTCCTGTTTTTGGTCAGGGAGAGGGTGGCAGGTCTGTATTGAGAATGTGTGAGACGTTGGGATGTGATCTGAAGTCCCAGCCCAGGAAGAGCCAGTATGCTCAAAGGGCAAAGCATTCCCTCTGTACTCTTTAGACTTTTCTAGTAAGAGTTTTACGGCACTCGCAACACAGATAGGACATACTAGCGCTGAAGATGAGATGTGCTACCAGAGTAATCTAGACCTGCATGTTTGCCGACAATCGTCTGAAATCCGACAATCGCGACCCGACCCGCGAACCGGCTGATGCTATCGCTAGGCCCGCCTGTATCAGTATCAGTCAATGTGCGTAGTGCGAGGCTTGGCCGACTGCCAGTGACCCATTTTTCTCCCGTCGGCTTCGTCGGCACTTTCGTTTTTGTGCCGGCGTCGGCGTTTCCGACATAATTGTCGGAACCTAAGTAGAAATGCGAATACGAAAAAGGACGACAACTTAAATTATCTACTTTCAGTTTCGTGCTCGAGCGGCCATTTTGAATTTCGTTTTTTGACTAATTCAATTGTTCAGATCGTGTGGATTCATTCAAGTCCGACTCTCTTGTTCTAATAGAATCTAGATCTAGATCTAGATTTATATAGATCATTATAAACCTCAATGGAGGATTCATATTCCAATTCTATTGTGTCAAACCCTATCATAGGTTGTGCTGTAATCTTTATATTGGTAAAAATAAGCATTTCATCAGGTGCGTGAATTGTTTATATTTATTTAGTAAAGATCTAGAATCTAGACTCAGCTGAGTCCTGTTCGGAATCGGATGCGGATTTCTAGTTCAAGGCCTATTCCTATTCACTTGTTCTACAAAATCTAGATCTAGATTTATTTAGATTACTAGATTTCTAGATCTAGATATATATATGACGATTCATATTATATATTCCAATTCTATTGTGTTATTGTATCAAACCCTATAGCAATGTAGATGTAAGCCATATATAGATCTAGAATCTAGATCTATATGCTCCTTGTTTGTTTTGGAGTGTGATTTTTTAAATTTAAAATCTTTTTTTCATTTAGGACTTGTTTTGGCCTTTTTACATGAGGCCCGTTGCATGTTCTTTTTGGGGGTCTGGTTAGGGTAAGGTCTCTTCTTTATTGTGTTTGTTGGGGTGGTCGCTCGTTACTCGGATGTTCTTCCTTATGACACCCACTAAGGCTTTTTGGGGAGGGGGGGGTTGCGCAAAATTTTCAGACAATCTGGTTGAGGCTCACATGCAGGTCTAGTAATCTTTTTTTTTTTAAAAATCTCCATAGCTCTATAGTAGCTGTAACACTTCTAAGGAAGCCTCGTGGTGAGGCTACCGGACTCGTGGTTGTGAGATTTCGGGGTCAGGGGTTCAAGCCTCAGCTCTGTCCGATGTTGTGTCCTTAGGAAAGGCATTTTACACGGAATTCCCATTTGGCTCAGTCCTTTCGGAGATGGACGTTAAACTCGGAGGTCCTGCCTCTTAAATAATCTAATAGTGTTGATAGGGGTGTTAATCCCTTACAATTTCATTTTTAACACTTCTAATCTTCTGCCATTATGTAACCTATTTGTTTTGAGGGTGTCCTAAAACACTAACTAAAACTAAACACGTGTCACGTAATTTTAAAATGTGACTGTGACATCTCTTTGACTGTATTGCACATTGAGATTTTTTTTTAGCAAATGGAAATGGGCAGTGTAAATTTTATTTCTTTGTATTATTATTGTTGTTCTTATTAATTATGATTATCAATATTATTGTTATGGCTTTGTGTACAGTTCACACCATGAGTGAGCTGAAGCTGACCGGGAACTGCCTCAAGGGATCCCGCCCACTGCTCTCTTTTGACAAGGTAAGAAGTTTTCTTCTCGCTGGAGACATTATGTTTGAGTGAGAGTTTAACTCCTTAGCTCCGGCAACCCACTTCCAGGGGTTTGCAGTCAGGGATCTGTTGTCAGTGGTTTAGTCAAATTCCCTTTATGGCAAGGATGATAATTGCTGAAAATAGTTCTATCTGACTGGGATTTCTTTCTCTTGAGATCGGGAACTATCAAAACAGGTTCATTTATTGTGATTTACTGACTGGTTTGGTGATGTTTTTGTCACTCTCGGACTTTGTTCCAAAAAAGAGCTCCGGCACAGGGGGGAAAACCCCATCCGGAGATAAAGAGTTATGGATGGCTCTTGCGACTCAATTAGGTCATGTAAATGCTGAAGATTTGGGGTGTTGTTACAAAGAAATGAGAGGGGAAAGGTCAGAGCATTAGCAAATCGCGCCAGAGCCTCCGCCAACCAACAACCTACATGCGGACATTAGAAATGTTGTTTGGCTTTTATTGGGGAGGGGGGGGGGGTAGTATTTTGATTTTGCCCATACAACGCTGAGACAGTACATAGAGGTGAGGATTTGAGAGGAGCATGTAGCAATGGTCTGTTTTGTGTGCTTTCAGGGAAGATGAGAATGTTTCGTTGTTTGTTTTTGTCTTTTTTTTGGGGGGGGTGGGGGTTGGTGTCTAGGGTCTGTTGGGGTGATAATAGATTGTAAAACGTATATATAAATATATATATGTAGAGAGCTTCCTGTTGTGTGGAGATATGTGCTATACACATGATGCTATTTATGTACTATAATAATACTAGTTAATATGTGAGGCAGCGTGGTGGAATCAGACTCTCGTCAATTTTTGGGCGTATAGAGTTATTTGTATCATCTAAAAGCTTGTTCACTTGTCTTTATTTAGATAAAAGAAATATCCATTTATCTTGAATACAAGTCGAGATATTTACGAATGAAGGAGATCGGGGCCACCTATTTTCAGAGGTAAAATTAGTGAGAAATGGCCGCCAAAGATTAGTTATTTCCCTAGCTTAAGAATCCGTGGTAACTGAAAATTGACATTGTTTGTGCCTTTAATCGACATTTTTCAGAAAATTCCACACAGAAATGAGTTCTTTAATGGGCATGAAAGGTGTCGAGCCAGAAAAAACAAATTTTATAAAAATTCACAAACCTGCGGAAAAATGCAAGTTTCTTCACTTTGATTATTTTGACGAGAGCCTGATTCCACCATGCTACCTCACATATTAATATTATTATTATTATTACTATTATTATAAATGAAATGTGACTGATATCCTTGTGTTGTGATTGCTCCTACTTGTTTATTTTGACTGTTCTTTCTGTCTATCTCTCTCTCTCTGTATTTTTCTGTCCATCTCCCTGGCTTTTTCCTAGCACTTCCAGCCATACTTGTTTGTGCCTTAACTTAAACTTGTGATGTTTGTGTTGCATCACATTGTTGGACAGTTGTTCAAATGTACTAAGCCCAAAATTTTGACATTTAAGAAAATTAAATTGCAGTTCCTTAATCTGTAGTGTCATTTGCATGTTTCAAAAAACAAAAAAACTGTAGAAATTCAAATTTTAAATGAAATGTTGAAAAAAATAGCAAGAAAAAATACACAATTTAGAAGCATTTTTATTCCCTCTCTCTTGAGAAATTTGCTGTCTGGGCTTAAAACATTTGAAGAGCTTGCTGACGATATGCTTGCGGGCCAGATCCAGTCCACGATCAGTTTCAGTCTGGCTTGCAAGTTGACCCAGGTAAAAATAATGAAGAATGTGGCCCACTTTAAACCTCTCATTCATATCCTGTTGTATCTGTCTATCCCCCAGGCTTTTGACTCAGAACCGCACTGGATGCTGCTCAAGGAGCTTTTCCTTCAGGTAAACACGCGCAGACGTACACATACACAGACACATGCACGGCAGGCTCAAACACACTCACACATGGACACACTTACAAACAAACGTACATGCTCGTACACATTCACAGACACACAGTTGATTGAATTTTTTCTCTCAGAGGATATACTCAAAGTAATGTGCACATACATAAACAGACACGCACACACACATGCATGAGCGAGCTGTTCAGACCATGTGTTAATTTTTTTTCTCAGATTTTTGGCGTCCCCAACCACCACCCAAAGAGTCAGCCATTCACAGACCATGTGTTCACCTTCTCCATACAAGACAACAGAATCTGGTTCAGAAACTATCAGATCCTTGCAGAGGACGGCTCGCTCGCTGAGATAGGTAGGTTTCTCACCCGGGCATATTTAGGTGTCTCATCCTGAGATATTTAGGTAGGCCTATGTGTTGGTTCAGAAACTATCAGATCCTTGTGGAGAAAGGCTCTCTGGCTAAGATAAGGGAAGTTGCAATACATTTTGAGAAAATAAGGTGGGGGGGGGGGGGGGGGGGGGGAAAATCTTTCATTAACAGTCATTTGAACAAAATAAGACTTACATATTTTTTTGCTGTTTTTTTTTTTCTACATGTGAAATTGAAATTTGAAGAAAAAAATTTATTGAGGGCATGCAACCGATACCACAGATTAGGTTGCATAAACACGGCCTCGCTGGCACTCGCAGCCTTCCGACCGTGGGGTATCGGTGAAATTGGAGTAATTCCGATCGCTGTTTCTTTGCTCTTTCGCTATAAAACACCAAATGCCGTACACCTTGTAAAGGTTCAGATTTTCCTCGTTACAATGGTGTAAGTTGTTTATATGTCCAATTATTAGGAGCTGGAGAATCGCCGACGAAAGCAAAGCCCTTCGCTGTTGGAATGCGTGGTCGGCTGGTTAAAAAATTGACACGCATGCATTCAAGTGCTTTGCGGAATGAGGGATGATTAAATACCGTCATTTCATTGGTGGAGAACTGTAGAGCTTTAAACGGGCTTTCCGTGGAATATTTTTGGTCTTTGGCGTTTGAATAGAAAGCCTTTAAAAATACCATCAAAATTTTAAAAGATCATTTTTTACACGAATTATGTAAAATACCGGCTTAAAAAAGATTCAATTAAAAGATTAGTTTCTTTCCCATTAGAGTAAAGAAATTAGCGTGGAATTATTTTGCATCAATCCTTCCACGAGACTCGGAAAGCGTGTGAACCCGCCATATGTGTTTATGCATGTTTTTCACGAATATTATGTAAAGCGCATGGACCAATGATTGTAACACGGATTTATGCAATATAAATGTCATATCATTGTTATTATAAGCGAACAGTGTAATATTACGGGAGGGGGAGGGGTAAGACTAGGAGTAGGTACCAGAAACTAGCTGTATGCCAAATTTATCTGTTCCATTTGAAAGGCCTATATCCACTGAGTATTTTGGTACCATTCTTTAACCTCTCCGTCAATTTTTAAGAAAATTGTAGTTGTTTAAAATTTGATCAAATTTGTTAAAGTCAGTCACTGGCTGCAACCCCATGTTTGACAGACAATAAAAAAAAGTACCAAGTGCACTAAACATCTCCACATTAACAGAGTACAATCACTATAACAAATATATGGAGCCTAATTTTTTTCAAGACTGGGATCTTTACAAATCAGTATTTTATCGCCTCAAACACGATGATCTGTCGTTATTTCGACAAAAACACAGAGCGTTGACCCGGCGGCGCGCACCGGCCCCCGCGGCGAGCGAGTCGGCTCTATACTGTAGTGTACCCCGCGTGCGGGGTCACATGCTTTCCGAGTCTCGCGGAAGGATTGATGAAAAATAATTCCAAGTTAATTACTTTATTCTAATAGACAGGGTTCCCGCGGCCTCCTTGAATTCAAGGAGTCCTTGAAAACTGCTTGAATTTGCATTCAAGGAAAAATCTCCTTGAAAACTCCTTGAATTTTGCCAGATCGGACAGGAACACGTGTACAGGGTGACTGCCAGGCCCCGGGAATCCCGGGGGCCCCTCGAATTACCCGGTCATTTGAAAAAAATCGCCGAGACCCGGAATGCAGCGGGAATTTGAAGAAATCTGTAAATTGCCCCGTGAAAGACCCGGGAAAATACATAAACGTTCTCGAATATTTGAAAACCAAATCCGATAACGTCCTTGAGTTCATTTTTGCCGGTCGCGGTTGTGATATAAAATCCATTCGGCCTTTCCCGGCCTGAGAGTACGTTACCCGCGCACAGGCGGTTATGGCGGCAACAAGTGGAAGTGTATGTGCGATACCGAAGTTCGATCGGGAAAAATCAAGATCTTCTTTCGCTTTCGTTACCACCTAGAAATTTGCCGGTAGGACCTATAGTAGTCTGATAGCGCCACATTTCTAACATGCAGGTTCTGCATTACAAACGCTGTGTCGCCATGAAAATAAATCGTTTGTCCTGTACTGTCACTTGTGGGAAAAAAAGAAAGTTATACAAGCTTCTTGTCGGGCTCGCCATCGTGACCGGTCATGGAACCTGTGCATTTTCGTCACATCGTGAGTATCGGCGATGGTTGAGGTCACCAAAGTTCATGCAAAGTCTGAGCGCTGCGAAGTATAGGACTCGGGAATGGGGGGATTATTGATTTATTTTTTTTTTTAAAGACGCACGTGGGGGGGAAAGGGAGGAGGGGGTGAAGGCAACACCGGATGACAAAAACTAAACTTGGAAGCAGATTTTACTTTTCAGAATTTTGATTACTACTATCTAGATATCTAGATCTCAAGCTCTCTGCAATGCGCGCGTTGGTGCAGGCCTTGTCTGGAATCGGGATCTGTCATACTCAAACCTTGTAAGCCGTGTGTTTGTAACTAAAGGGTTCCCGTTTCATTGGGTAGGTGATAGTAAATTATATGTACAGTAGTCTCCGCCTAAGATCCCACCGCTTACGATCCCGGTTCGCTTAAGATCCCGCTGTTTTAAGAAAACAGAATTTTTACTATACAAAAGTCACCCCTAAGATCCCGCTCTGATTCACTCTTAAAAAGGTCTACATTCAGCTAAGATCCCGCATTTCAGATTATAATTTGCGGAACAAAAACTCGGGCGGGCACAGCCGATCAACCAAGGGGGAAAAGTTGAGATCAATAAACTGTCCGTCGCGTCAAAGATCAGCCACTATCCTGAATGTGATCACATACACGTAAAACTCGATGAAGCAATGCAATGTTTGCCCCAGACGGGATCACACCGAGGTGTGAACTGACCGACACGTTTGTTTTCCCCACGTATCGCACTCACACCTGAGCTCTCACCCTAAACTTATATCACTCGCTGGGTGGGTAGGGCCTATACGTTCGCTTCGTGAACTCTTCCCCGACCATTGCAGCAGTTGTCTCTACTCCCGAATTTGCGAGACAGACTGAATTTTAATTGGTGTGTTCACAACGTAATGGCGTGTAACGGCAAAGGCGGTTGGGGGGGGGGGGGACTCGGTCAGAGATGGCAAGCTATAAATTTTCGACAGGTAAAGGGGAGGGGCAGCTGGATAAGCGTAGATCTTGAGACTCATGATTGATAGATAATTCGTTAAAATGGCACGCCTCATGCCACTATGCACTGTGACAGGTCATCAAGGGTAACCACTCTTTGCTCGCCATGTGTCATAAACCCACCAAGGGGTCACGTCAGTTCATTTTAGAGTGGAGGGAGACCATTTTACCGATTGTGAGCCTTAACATGGATCACCATAGATTCTTTCCTGGGTTCGTCGGTTAAGATCCCGGTTCGCTTAAGATCCCGCATTTCTTGGCTCCCGAGCACCGGGATCTTAGGTGGAGACTACTGTTTGTATTGTATTCTATATTTGAGCTTTCTGTTCAAGATTTGCAGATTTTCAGAGTCACTGCCTCTTGCCCTCCCACAGTTTTTACACCTCTCACACTGAATAGGTCTACTTAAGACATTCATGTTATTACTCTATTTTTAGTTTGAGTAATAATTTTTATCTTTTACGTTTATTGTATAAACCTTGACACCCAAACTGGTTCTTGACAGTGGATATTCTGGTTCTAGGCCTTTTCTCAGGCTCAAAGCAAGATTCATTTTTATATAGTTTATATAGGGGAATATGATGAGGGGAAAATATAAATAAGTAAGAACTGACTGAAATACCTAAGTCACAGTATCCCAGTGCCACACTGACATGTTGCTGACTGGAATGTACCTACATGCGTGCGTGCGCACCATTCTGTGTATATATCAATAAATAATATTATATAAATGAAGCATGCACTGTCATTGTTATGTAACATGCCCCTGGAGAATGGATGAGGCCCCCCCACCGGAAAATTGAGAAGCCGGGTTGGCAGTCACCGTGCGAACAGTTTTTGTAGGGAAATCGAAACTATGATATGATTCTTTTCGGACAAGTGTAGACCTTCGAAAATAGGTTTTTGTCATGAATTTCTTGACCAAATCTCCTTGAATTTTAAAAATTTCTCCTTGAAACCTCCTTGAAATCTCCTTGAATTTGGTGGGAAGTTCATGGCAGGAACCCTGAATAGAAAATGAACTGATCTTTTAATTGATACCAGTTATAAGTCGGTATTATACATATTTTGTGTAAAAAGGGATCTTTAAACATTTTGACGGTATTTTTAAAAGCTTTCTATAAAGACGCCAAAGGCTAAACTTATATCACGGGAAAGCCCGTTTAAAGCTCTACAGTTCTCCGCCAATGAAAAGACGGTGTCTAATCATCCCTCGTTCCGCGAAGCATTTGAATGCACGCGTGTCAACTTTTCAACCGGCCGACCTCGCATTCCGACCGCGAGGGGCTTCGCTTTCGTCGGCGATTCTCCAGCTCCTAATAATCGGACATATGGACAACTTACACCATTGTAACGGGGAAAAGCTGAACTTTAACAAGGTGTATGGCATTTGGTGTTTTATAGCGAAAGAGCAAAGAAACAGCGATCGGAATTACCCCGATTTTACCGATATCACGCGGTCGGAAGGCCACGAGGCCGTGTTTAAGCTACCTACTAAGAGGCAGGTGTAAGAAAAGTGTAAGGGAGGGGTAGGGGTGTCAAAAAGTCCCCAAAAAGGTGTAAGATCATATTTAAACAGCTCCTAAATTGTTTGGCACTGTCATTGCGTACTGGTAGTTACTGTTCAGTTCCCTGCTCTGTTGCACACACTGAGGTAGTAGCTTTACTAGCTGCTGGAAATGTAGCATTTTGACACGTTTTTAAGATTAAGAAGATGATTGTGAAGTCATTGTGGCATGCACTGGGTATCACTGGAAAGAGAATTGAGTTGAGAATCTAAATCAATAATACTAGCTCCTTTTTCTAGATCTACAGTTTTAAAGGTAGGCCGACGTCTAACTCTGTCTGTTTTAAGTGATGATTCATAATTATAATAATGTGATAGCATTGTTTCTTCCTCTGTAGTCAACGAAGGTTGATAACCAAAATATTCAGAAATGATTAAACTTTATTACTGGGAGTTATAACCCTTATAAAGTTGTCATACTTTTTGTGAATCTGTTCTCAGTTTTACTGAACTCGTATATATGCACTCCTCAAAGAGAGTGTTATGCCTAGATCCATGGATCAAAACAACTACATTAGCAATTCAGTTGATTGCCATTTTTATGTCTCCATTTTTCAGGCCCTCGATTTGTTCTCAACCCCATCCGAGTGTTTGCTGGTAGCTTTGGCGGTGCTACGCTGTACCAGAACCCACACTATGTCTCTCCCAATGATGTAAGTTGTGGGAGGGTGTCATGAATACATCTAAAAATTATTTCTTTGAATGCTTATGTCATCAATGGTGTTTTTGCCAGTGAACAGTTTCGTCGACATGTTGTTTGCTTTTCGGTGTGTATAAAGTTGTTTTTTTTTGTGGGTTTTCTGTTTGTGTGTGTAAAGTCATGAAGTAGAAGATGTTTGTTTTTGTTGTGTGTAAAGGTGTGATGGACGAGATGTTGGGGGAGTGTTGGTGTGTGTAAAGGACGAGATGTTGGGGGAGTGTTGGTGTGTGTAAAGGTGTGATGGACGAGATGTTGGGGGAGTGTTGTTGTGTGTAAAGGACAAGATGTTGGGGGAGTGTTGGTGTGTGTAAAGGACAAGATGTTGGGGGAGTGTTGTTGTGTGTGAAGGACAAGATGTTGGGGGAGTGTTGGTGTGTGTGAAGGACAAGATGTTGGGGGAGTGTTGGTGTGTGTAAAGGACGAGATGTTGGGGGAGTGTTGGTGTGTGTAAAGTTGGTGGTTAAGTACATGATGTTTGTTTATCTCGCGTCCCCAGTACCGGCGAGCCATGCAGAGGTCAAAGGCCGACAAATACAGCCATCGTGTGGAGGCCAAGATGTCACTCCAGATGCGCAAACCAGAGGTCACTTACGACCTTGATCCAACAGACGAAGTTTTTCACATTATCACCGAGAAGGACGTGAAGAAAAAGAAATAAAGTGTTGTACAGAGTTGACACATGTGTTGGTTCAATTGTTCCTTCCTGTAGCTATATAATAATAATAATGTTGGGGGCTCTCATGGTCTTGAGGTTAAGGTGTTTGCCTCTCGTTCAATGGGTCCTGGGGTTCGAATCCAGATAGGGACGGAAAATTTACTTCTCTAAAATTTTCTCCTTTCACGTCTTTTCCTGCTGTCTAACAACGTTCTGTCTTCGCTTTCGTCTCCACTTTCTGCGCCCACCCTCTCACTTCCTTTGGCTCCTTCTTACTGCTGTCTTTCAGCCACACCCCTGATCTCATGGTAGGTAAGATCTACACCTAGCCTTCTCGGAGGTCCCGTGTGCTTGTTGCGAATGTTAAAGATCCATTGGTGGTCCAGAATCGATAAGAGTAGGCTTCGGCTGTCACCTGGGCAAAATTCAAATTCCCTGCGAATTGAAAATGTTCAATTATGGGTCCTGCGCGCTCATATGACCTTATCTGTCCCTGTGGTTTTATGCCCTCCGTATTTTTTAACAAAATTTGTTCATTTTTTGCATAATTTCTTATCATTTTCCTTTTTCATTCTTTGTTAAAAATTAACAGAATCGCATAATTTCACATTTTTGGGCTCAGTTTGCATCATTTCAGAATTTTTCGCATAAAACGACAGGGACAGCCTTATGCAGTTGCGAGCGCTGTAAAACTAAAACACGCACACACAAAAAATATTTTTAAAATAAAAATAATAATGTTAGGTAGCATATGTATGTATTATGAAATTTCTGCTCCATCTGTGGTGTAGCAAACAGTTAGGCACTTTGCTGTCGCACGCAGGAGACCCAAGTTTGAGTCCTTATTGGGGAGAGTTTTTGTAGAGTATCTCTGTCTTTCTGCTGGCATGTTCCATCCCTCTCAGCCTGAGTTGGCCTTTTCAGGCAGGATTGGAAGCCCACCTCCTATATGATCTTGATCTAAATTGTGTTGATAGAGGCATAAAACTTACTGCAGTACTTTAAAGAACAAAACATTTTTTTTTTTAACCCTATCCGTACGTCGTGTTTTACTATCGTATCCATAATACGTAGTGGGGAACTCTGTGCTACCACTTTCCAAAGAGGACATTTACTCATTAATCCAATCCGTAAACTTTGCGCAGCAGTCTGTCAAAATGATTTTTTGAGAAATACTGAAAGTTTCAAAGAGATTTTCATACTAATACTAGAAATATTATAAAATGTGAAGAATACAACCCCGGGGGTACAAAATGACCCCAGGACGTGCGGATAGGGCTATTGATAGCATTCTGAAACAATCTCAACTACCTGGGAAATATACAGTGCTAGTCACCACTTTATATTTACAGGTACTTAAACACTTAGACTAACTAGTAACTCTAACATACAGACAAGATCTTTTGCCATCTATGGCCGAATACTCACACCTGAGTGAAGTGAGGAAATATCATGTAAAAAGCCTTTCCCAAGGACACAACGTCAAGCCTGAGGCTCGTACCCCCGAACCCACAACCTCATGATTCCTAGTCAAACACCCACTAGGCCACCAAAGCCACATCCTTGTGGGTGACTGACGGGTGCTCTGGTGTGGTTTGCTCCTTCTTTCCTATCAAACATCTATCGTCCTTGTGTAAATCTCTCCTTTTTTGTGTATGTTACTTTCTTGTAACACATCTATTCTTCAGCACTTATAAGTTATATGACCTTATCTGTCCAGTCCCCGCAGAATTATGCAAATTTCAATGGGCAAATTATGCAAGACAAATGCAAATTTATGCAAGTTGCTGTAACGCCATTCACGACATGTTTTGCACTTTTTCGACAAGAATTTTCATGTTTTATATACAGAAAATGGAAAAGAGAACTTATCAGTATCATTAATTTTTTGTGTATTTGGAAAGAAAACAATACACATCTGTCAGAAGAAAAAAACAACAGAAATATAATCTCTGTAACTTTCAGCTGTAGATCTAATAGAGGAAAGAGAAATATTTTGTTTAAACAATTATAATTTTAAAAAGGGCATCTGGACCTTTGATGCTGACACATTACTAAATCCAGGGACACTTGTCAAACATGAAACATCAGCAGACATGGGAACACTTTTGATGGATTGAAAAATTGGACATGCCCAAGGAACTAAATCCCTAACCCATAGCCATTAAAGGGGGGGGGGCGTGCTATACCTGACGGTATACGCTTATTACTGGGCCAAATTTCACACACATATAACAAGCATAGAAAGGAGTCTTAAAATCCGCAATCAAATTTGAGAAAAAAAGTTTCATTTCCATGGATACGGCGGCCTTGTTGGATTTTGTTGACATGGTTTGCGTAATGAATACCGCACCTATCGCTCATGGAAATTGATTGTTTTTCCGCATGCGCTTTAACAAACATTAGTTCTATAAATTTGTCTGGGTTTTTTTTCTAAACAAATTAGAAATTGTTTAATGAACTTTTTCCTGGGGTATCATTCAAGTTTGTGAAAAATCCGTGAAAATCCACACAACAGATAGGCTACCACCAACAAAATTCTATTCCATATAAAAAATTGTACAGACAAATTACATCTTCTCTTCATTCTGTGAAAATTTCATGAAGATTGAATCATGAAAAATGGTGGAGTTATTTAAAAAAGTATAGATCTTGAGAAAACGTCCGATAAAGAAAAATGAAATACAGTGGAAACCTGATATAACAGGGGCGGTGGGAGTAGAGAAAAAGTCCTGTTATACAGTAGAACACGGATTCAACGAGGTCGCCGGGCCTGACCTAAAACCTCGTTGAATCCGAGTGTTTGTTATGGCAAACATGAGGTTTTGTGTAGATAATTACAGGCTCTGAGCAAGTAATGTGTAAAGAGAAGTAAAAATAGTGCCTGAAATGCCTGCATATTATCAGCTGTGTAAAAAAAAAAAACAATTCGTTCAAATGCACGCCTGTGTCATCTCGATTGTTTGCCAAAAAGTTGTGTTGCTGTGTAGAGCCTAGAACACGGCAACTTTTGATTCCATAGACGAGCGCGCAATTCATTACGTTGCTACGTCAATAATGATTAGTATTAGTTGCCGGGGAAAAAAAAGACTGACACATTTGTATGATCTGCGACGTTCAACGCCCGGACTGCTGGTGCCCCCCCACCCGACAAAGTCACACGCGTGCAGGTTGCCCATCCGACCCCGATACTCGCCAGAGTATACACGTGCGTGTGCCAACAACGCATGTGTTGGTATGAAAAAAGGTTGCTGATTGGTCGCATTCGATCGGCTAAGTGAACAGTAGTTCACGATGCAGGGCAATGGATGGTTTCTTGGAATAAATAACGTTCGTTCTGGGAGAAAAATGAGCGAAGCCACGTCTGTCGGGGCTGTTCCCCCTGGAAGCGACCTCGTTGAATCCGAGCTTGCTGATTTAAGTGCTCATTGAATCCGGGTTTTTTAAATTGATTTTAAAGAAGAAGAAAAACGGGGAATCTATCTCCTCTCGTTGAATCCGAGCTCGTTAAATCCGAGTTCCACTGTATTACTTTATATCCGATCCCTGTTATATCAGAAATGCAAGGAAAGTAAGCATTTGTGGACTAATCCGGAAGCACTTATTCATGGGTAACTTCCCTTGTCACAATTACCCACGAGGGGTTTTGGCACCAACTTTCTCCTTGACTCCTTAAACCACATCAGGGGGCTCTCGTGGCCTAGAGGTTAAGGTGTTGGCCTCTCATTCAAAGGTCCCGGGTAGCGACCGAAAAATTTTCTTCTCTAAAATTGTCTCCTTTCACTTTCTTTCCTGCTCTCTAGCAATGTTGTTGTCTGCTTTCATTTCCACTTTCTGCCCCCACCCCCTCACCTCCTTTGCCTCCTCCTCTGGGCTCCACACTCTTTCTGCAGCCTTTCTACTGCTACTCCTTGGCTCCTCCTTACTGCTGTCTTTCTGCCACACCCCTGATCTTCTGGTAGGAAAGATCTACACCTAGGCTTCTCGAACAAGGGCAAAAAATCTCGGAGGGCCCGTGTGTAAGTTGCGCACGTTAAAGATCCCTTGGTGGTCTAAAATCGATGAGCAGGCTTCGGCCGCCACCCGGGCAAAATTCAAAATTTCCTACCAACTGAAAATATTAGGTGTGTCCCGCGCGCTCATATGACCTTATGCAGTTGCGAGCGCCGTAAAACACTTTACAAAAACAAACAAACAAACAAACCACATCAGAAGAGCTTGGTCCACAGCATGTGCATCGGGTAGTTTCATCTTCTTTCGATCCAGAGCAAACTTTCCATTGGAGTATGCTACCACTATCTCCTCTCTTATTCTTGATAATGGTGTGAATCGACCCTTGTGGAATGTCGAATTGGCGACAAATCTCTGCCAGTGGAGCTTTCTTTTTGTCAACAGCCTGGATTATTTAGTATATTTTGTCAATTGAAAGGTATTTTCTCTCGCGCTTGACATCGTTAGTGGCCATAATTATGAAAGAAGTAGGCTTAGATCTAGGCCGACCAGCCATCCACAGAGTGCGGCTTAGATCTACACATGTACTGTTGTTTAGTGAGCATTGTTTTCATCAAAAGGAAGGCAAATGGACAGGCTTTAAGATGATACCAATAACTCTGTATGCCTCATAATCAAAACTGGAACGCTTGATCCCACCATGTCGTGACACCTATTATTTTTTAGTGCATGTATGTGTGTATGCATGTTTTTCATGAATATTATGCAATGCGCATAGAGCAGTGATTGTTTTACAGATTTGCACAATATAAATGTCATATTATTTTTAACCTTATAAGCGAACATTGTAATATCATACGGGTGGGGGGTGTAAGGGCAAGTGTAAGAAAGGGGGAGGGGGGGGGGGGGGGGTCAGAAAGTCCCCAAAAAGGTGCAAGATTATATTTGAACAGACCCCAACTTTTTCAAAACCCAATAAGGGACACCTAATGATGTAATAGTACAAGATTTCGAAACAAAATTTCATTAAGAGGAACAGGTTTTGGTGTAAGTTGCTAGTGTATGAGAATTGATGAGGCTCTCAAATTCTTGACTGCTGATTCCGAGACAGTCACTGGCAATTTGCAACAGTTGTCAAGCCAAAGAGTGTGTGTATGTGTGCGACTTCAACCTTCTCTTCGATACCGACACTAATGCTGAAGAAACACAATTCTTGTTTGGTTTTAGCAAGCGTTTTACAGCACTTGCAACATAATTAGATCGTATAAGTGCCGAAGATTAGAGGTGTTACGAGATAGTAACAAACAAAAGGAGAAATAAGGACAACAGATGTTTGGTGGGAAAGGAGGAGTAAATCACTCCAGATCACCCGCTAACTTCTTATGACCATAAATAATTCTAAAATCAAGATTCAACGCAAAGAAAAGAGAAACCCGTTTATGAAAGTTCTTTACTTTATTTATACCGTACAACACAAAACACATACTACAGTACATTAAAAAAAATTATAATAATAAAAAGATAATTCTTGAAGAGTTCATGAACAAAAAACTCAAACAAGTCCAAACAGGAAATTGTCAAACTACCCACAAGTCTCCGGTACAGCTATAGGCAGACTTGTCCCAGACATACAAGAAATCAGCAAGTTATGCTGCAGTCTTCTTCCAAAGTCAATGTTTATGATGTGCTAAGTAAATGGATGGTACATTTGAAAGAAAAAATGATGAGTAAAATTGAGGCTAGCCGAGAGAAGCAAAGTGAAAAAGAACACAAGACACTTCTGTCTTTGACAAGAGACTATATGAGGTGAAATGTTGAAAGTCAAAACCCAGAGCTGGCTGACCGACACAAGTGAATACATGAAGTGATGGGGTACAAAGCACAAGAACTCCTAACTTACTGAGCCTTAGTCCCAAAGATGAGACAGGATTGGGTTTTTGCATTTTTCCCCAAGACAATGATCTAATAATGCGATATATATAAGTTTTGTACAAAGCTTTAGCTTACTCATTTTCCAAACAGGAAAAAAAGATTTCCTACTTCTATGGACGTACTGTAGTTTAGATGTGAAACTTTTGTTGCCTTCCAGAAGCTTGTCGCCGACAATTTTCAAAAAACATGATCTAGGGATGACAGAGAACTTTGTAGGACAGTATCATAATTTCAAGTAAAATTTAGAATGCTAGATCTAGTCCTCATATTTTTGTGTAAATATAATTAGCATAATTTTTGGTATTATTTTTCTGTCACATTGAATGAGCAGAAATGCATTGCAAAAATTGTTGGTATTCAAAAAATTTGTGGAGCAAAAAGTTTAACAGATAACTTAATTAAAGTTGACAGTTTTACAAAGAGGAGAAATGTATTAATCTGAGCCAGAAATTACCGGTGGCGAAATATTTGGTCCTGAAGATTTTGGAGCAAAAAGTGTGAAAATATCCAGCCAGGAGTATCCACAGCATCTCCATACTGGCCAGGGCTCAGCGAGTTAGCCAAAGAAAAAACAAAGAGTAATGGAGAGCATTCGTGCCAACCACTACTCTGAGATGCACTCTGCCTCCAGCCACCACTGCAGTGACGATAACATCAACATACACACAAAAGTGCACTGGCACGCACACATACACCCGTCTCAAATGGTCAATTATGTCTGGGAAGAAACATAACAGACGGGACAAAGCGTTTGAACTATCAGTAGCCCTGCCCTTTAACTTGAACTTATCAGATGTCGCCCTCTGACCTCCCTTGACCTGCGAGTGGTGCCCTTTGACCTACCATTGGCCCAGCCCTCCGACCTATCAGTGCCCTATCCTTTGACCTTCAGCCCCATTCAAAACATTGCAGTAAAACGTATCTAAACGTTCCAAACAACATACACATCTCAATAAAATCGACAAAAACAGCACCTGTATTTCCCATCTCTCTCATCCTCGTGCACACACAAAAACACACACACTCTCTCTCTCTCTCTCTCTCACACACACACACACACACACACACACAAAAACACAAGACTCTCTCTCTCTCTGTCACACACACATGTGTAGGCCTGTGTCCTGTCATCTGAACACTCAGCGTTTTTTGTTGCTGCCCGAGGAAGAAAGTCTGGAGGAACATCGGGACAAGGGCCGTCGGTCTTCCTCTTCTTCTTGCTGCACAACAAAGAAACAAAAACAAAGCAATAAACAACTAAGCCAGCAACTTACATCTACTCTCCTCCGAAATATTTTTTTTTTAAATTTTAAATATTGTAACAGAGAAGCAAAAATAAATGAGCACACAACATTCATACCCCACCAAAAAAAAATATTTTTAATTTAAAAAAAAAAAAAAAGCCACAGAGGTGCACAGAAAAATACACAAAAAGGGTTACCTAGATAGTAGCCATAGATAGAGCCATCTTAAAATAAAACTTCAAAGCAACCAAACTTTTATGTGAACCAAACTTTCCTTCTACTTCTATCTTCCTAGTTCTGGCAATGTGCACCCAACTTCACATAAAAGTCAAAGTAGCCTGTACGGTCAGGTAGCGTAAACAATGCACAGTGTAAGTAGACTCACAGCTTTCTGAGATTGACGAATCCAGGACAATCCTGGGAAATTCGGGTCAGTTGGTAAGCCTGTTGCTTAAGAGCTCTGTCACAATTTTTTTTTAAACACTAAATGCTGTACAGGGTCTCCACCTAAACACAGGCCATAATAATAGATAGAATTTGTACAATGCAAACTCCTGCTCAACAGCAAGCTTTATAAGCTTTACAATCTATATTATTACCCCCAGAAGACCTGATAGCATTCTGAAACAATATCAACTTTCTGGGAAGCATAGTATAAGCTGCCATTTTATGTAGGCACTAAAACACTAACATATGGACAAGATCTTTCGTGGCCTATGGCAGGGTAACCATTCCCACCTGAGTGAAGTGAGGAAAATTTGTGTGAAGTGGCGTTCCCAAGGACACAATGTCGAGCCTGAGGCTCTGACCCTCGAACCCGCAACTAGAATATCGACGCCACACTCTGCTCCGCTCCAACGCACACTTTTATCATTTGATGAGTGTTTATCTACGCAATTTAGACGTACAAACACACGCCCCCTTTCCCTAAACACATGCTTCGATCCGCAAAACATCTCAACAGGTAAAGCTTGACAAAGTGAAATTTTCACAACAGCCCACACAGCTTACATAAGATAAGTCTCGGCAACTGGATTTTGGCAAGACTGCCCCTCATGCAGAAGAAAGAGAGTGATGGAGAGCATTTTCACATCTAACTGTCCAAAGACACAGGCTTAGGTCTAGGACCGGGCAAGCGATGTTTGGGGGGGGGGGGGGGGGGTGTGAGACTCTAATGTCTTTGGATTGGTCATTCTTCCAAATGCATCATTGAGAGACGGTTTCTCACTGGAGTTCAAGTGACTGTAATGTTTAGTTGGGCCTATGATGCGCAACACGCATGAATGCTGTAGAAAGTTGATAGACCCATAGGATTAACTCACTGAGCACCGCTCCTGCAGCATACGTGGTCCGGTAAAATTCGTACGCGGGTTCAACTATAGTTGACTATAAAGTAAACCAAGCAGTTTAAAAATGCTTGCAAATAGCCCCAGTGGTTTAAACAGGATATCAACAAGCTAGTTCTCTGTGTATATTCATCACTTTTAATGCGAATAAACAGGTTATTTGTCAAACGGACTGAATAACTGAAAGTAAAGAACTTCCGCACAGTTCGTTGTTTCTCGTACACCGAGCATGGCACGGCGAGTTGTATCGACGTTAATTGAAACTTTCGATAATTTTGGTGAAGATTTAAGTGACAGTGAAGTATCAGATAGATAACTTCATAAATCAAAATGTGAAATCGTCTAGCAGTGATGAAGATGACTGACAAAATGACATTAGACCTAGGTCTTGACCAACACCGTCTCTCGATCGTGAATCTGACTCGTCAGCGAGTACGCAGCCTGGTCCGGCTGGGGATGAAGATAGATCTAGCCCTAATACTAATAGTACTATACTCAGACCTGCCACTCTATGAAACCTCAAAATCAGGATCTCAGGGGGGAAAATTCAGGATTTAGTGAAAAAAATCGGGATCAACAGCAAATCACCAAGGTGACTGTCAAAGCTGACTCAAATTTTTTCCAGGGGTGTCCATAAATTCCTTGGCCTATATGCCCTCTGTGTGTCTTTGTTTGTTTGCGCGCGCGCGTGTGTGTGTGTGTGCGTGCGAGTTATTGTTTTTTTGTAACTTCTGAAGCATCGCGTCAAGCATTCTAGTCCAAGTGTCTATACCCCCCCACCCCTACCAATAAGTCCCGAAATATATGAACTTAAGTTGACCCCGTCAACGGACGGTCCCCGACACGCAGAACTCAGATGGCGATGACAGGTCACGTGACGCGAATGTGCGATTTTAACAATTTTACTAACGGGTCCGACTTACTGCGCTTTCACACGAAACACCCGGATGAGCAACGGTCGTTCTACTTCTAGAATAACGACGGCGGCCGACCGTCCAAATGTACCAACAAATCTCTTTTTATCCCTCATGTGTTCAGACAAAAGCAGCGACAACGGTCGTATGTTTGTCTTGTCAGCGGATTTACATGTTAGTTGTGTAAGGGTTAAAAAGACTGTCACTCGTCTGAGTGTTTGATGTGAACGCGCAGTTACCAGACCTCGGACAAGGCTTGTTTTGAAAGTAACAGCGGAACTACGAACATTATCGATTATTAAATGTCCCAAATTGTAACAGTTACCAGGCTATCATCGGAGAATTCTGAGCGCGGGTAAAGATCACACACAACTTGGGACGAGTCAACTACTAAATGCGGCATCGATATTTCGGGAAATAATGCTTCGAGTTCCTACTGACAAAAAGTGCAACGGGTGCTTCCCGCTATAAAGGAGAAGGCAGAGTTAGTTTTTAGAAAAATCCGGCACAACAGCAGATTGGGACAAAATATCGGGATACACGTGATCGAAATCGGGAAAATCGGGATGCTTGAGATTTGGGGCAAAAAATCGGGATGAGTGGCAGGTCTGTATAATCTAGTTCAAATCAGCCCTCAAAGTGGAGAAGATATATAAGGTACCCAGACCTGGGACATCTATTGCCAGATCTAGTCCTAGCCCTAGCAGCACTGACAATGAAAACACTTCTCAGCCTGTCACCGAGGAAATAGATCTATTTTTTTTGTCTTTTTCAAAATTAATTATCACTTACATTTTTAGGCGACTTCACTGTACATTTTTTATGCTATTTCACTGCACATACTAATGCTTCGTTCTCCTACACACAAACACACACTGCCACAACCATTTTGTGTAAGTTTATTAGATTTCTGCTTTGTCACATCACTTCCTTTTTTTTTCTGGGGCAAATTTGTCCCAACTTTCTGTCCCATACATTTTTTTTTGTCATTCATTCTTCACAAAATGTGTTTATTGTGCCTGTTGAACCCATATCTTATTAACTAGAACAGAAAGCAACATTTCATTTCATTTTTTAATGAATTTTCAGGTCCCCTGGGGCTTGGACTTGGAGGCCAATCGGGGCGTGGTGCTCAGTGAGTTAAAGATTAGTAGGCCTATTACAGTGAGTTAGTCTTTCCCCTTTTTTTTCACTTATCATTCCACACCTTTTGTAGTCATAACCACAATCAGAGAATCTATAATACATTGTAAACCAGTCACATTTTGCTGAATTATCTGCGGAGGTCACAAAAATATCAAGGAAATGAATGTGCGCGTCCCTTTTCCCCTTTGCACAGGCTCACGTAAACGCACGCTGCAAGTATCGTGCGTTTAGGCGGAGACTTCTGTACACCACAAAAAGAAAGCACAGCTGATTAAAACCTGTAAATTCTTTGCCATATCGAAAGGCCGACGGGCTAGAACCCAAATGGCCGCTGGATCAGACAAGTTAAGTACACCACAAAAAACATTCAGCTCATCTCGATTGCAGTCTGCTGGGGAAACACTTATGTGTGCTGTCCTGACAGGGGGGGGGGGGGGGGGGGGGGGGGGGGGTACAGTCACACCTGTGCTTACAGCCACCTGTCCAAACAACCACTTCCCACTTCTTTTAAGTTTTAGTAAGGTTTTACAGTGCTTGCAACTGCATAAGGTCATCCAAGGGGTGGATGTCAACAAAGAAGTCCAAACAAGGAACCAGGCTTACTCTGCTCACCTCTCTAGCCTCAACAGCACAAAGTCTGCTTTGACGATCAAGGCACCCAGAAAATAGCAGTTCACAAGAGAGTAACAAACTTACAAAAGAAGTAGAGAAAAAATGACAATAGTACGGATGAGGAAAGAAAAAGCAGCAGTTCCCTCCTATGTTGTTCAGGCACAGTATAAGCATGATATTGATAAATCAGCCTATTTACAATTCTACTGTGCATAAGAACGTGTTAACGTGGCGGTCTTGGACAATTTTGACTGTACTTCAACCCACATCAATAATATATGTGAGGCAGAGTGGGGAAACCAGACGCTCGTCAAAATAGTGAAATTGAAGAAACTGTCATTTTCCCACCAGTTCGGCAATTTTTATCAAACTTTTGTTGTTTTGGCTCAACCCCTTTATTGTTCATTCAAAAACACATTTCTGTGTAGATTTTACTGAAAATCATTGATTAAAAGCACAAAAAAAGTAAAATTTCACTTTCAATGGACTCTCAGACTAAGGAAGTAAGCAAATTTTGGCGGCTAATTTTACCCCCGAAACCTGCCGACCCCATCTCCTTCAATAGTGAATATCTTCCATTCAAAGTAGATGGGTATTTTTTATCATCAAAAGAAAGACAAATGAACAACAGTTATGATGATACCAGTAACTCCACATGCACCAAAATTGACGAGCGCCCCATACCACCACGTCGTCACACACACACATACATATTATATATATAGTCTATATGTTATAGACTCATTACATATAACAGACAACAGAATAGTTATCACAAACATGCAAAACAAAAACCATGCTCTCATTGTTGACCAAATGTGTGGGTGCCTGGAAAAATGTACTGGAAGACCAATTTGCTCCACCTGAGTTACAGGGTAAAAAAGATAAACAAATCAACAGAACACTGAGTTCCATTAACAAATGATTCTTAAGCCATTTATCTACCTACATTTACCAGGCTTTGAGATATTTCATGACAAAAATATATTATTGAAGATGATTTTTGACACAATTCGTCTTACAAATAACAAAAACTGCTAGACAACATTTGCCATCAGAACCTGCATTGCGTAAGGTTTCTACAACTCATTCGTAAAAACAAACCCCATTACACTACATACCAAAATTTAGGTCAGCTCGTAACATTTCTCCAGCTGTCAACTGAGCATGGAATCAAACATTTCGACACAATTTAGATCATTTTAGGGATCAACAATAGAGAAATATTGAAAACAGAGAAAATGACTTTCATGTAAAGCACAGGTAGATTCAAACCCCACAACTGTCACATAGGTGACCCTTTGTACAGTCCAGAGCCACATTTCTATCTCTATACAAATATATGAGTGTTGCATTGTGGTGAAATCAGGCACTCGTTAAAATAATGAAATTGAAGAAAGTTTCCCAGGTTTGTTTTTGGGCTCTACACCTTTTAAGTTCACTTAAAAACACATTCCTGCATGGATTTTTACTGAAAAACGATCGAACACGCAAAAAATGTTTTGGAAGTCACCAAAGTTTGGTGGCCATTTTCTCCCTAATTTTCCTTCTGACACCAAGTGGCCCCCATCTCCTTCAATGGCAAATACCTAGACTTCCATTCAAGATAAATGAGTATTCTTTCATTAAAAGCAAGGCTAATGAACAGATTTTAAGATAACACCAATAGCTCCATAACCTTGCCCAAAATTTGACAAGCACCTGATTCCACCTTGTTGTGACACACATACCATACCACAACTAACACCAACCCACAAAAATATATAAAGTCTAGTCAGTACTGCCATAGATTAATAAATAATAGATAAGTTGGATTTATAAAGTGCTTATTCACACTCGACCAGAGCCCACCCACAGGGTTCGAACCCATGATCTGTTGGTTACAAGCCCAACAGCCTAACCACTAGACCGCCAGCGTACATTTCTGGAACATGTACATACATCTAAACGTATGGATCCCAGCAATGTCAGGAGAACTTACTTCCTACCACAACGAAAGAGTTTGGACAACAGCAATGGAGGGGTTGGAACAATTCACAAAAGACAGACACAAGCGTTCACAGACACACACACTGACAGACAAACAGACACAACAGCAATGAAGGGGTTGGAATGTCTGACAACATACAATCATCCGTGTACACACACACACACACATACACATATGCGCGCACACAACACGCACACGCACACACACACAACACGCACACACACACACAACACGCGCACACACACACACACAACAATAATGGAGGGATTCAAACAACTGAAAACATATAACCAGCCATATCCCGACACACACACATATATACAAACACACAAGACATAGATACACACACACACACACATATATACAAACACACAAGACATAGATACACACAAACACATACATATAAAAACACAAACACACACAGACAACAGAGGTTTTAGGGAAGGCATGCACATACCACAGTTACAACGCCAAAGTTTGGGGGTGTGTGTGAGTCAATCAGACCTTGTCCTCCTCACTGTCGTCATCGCTGATGATAGGATGTCTCACTTTGGTCGCAGCGCGACGTTTGGCGTTTTTGCGCGTTTTCTCCGGCTGGACGAAAAATGTAAATCTTTTTTAAAAGCTTTATTAAGAGTTTAAAATGCCACTTGTAACACTATTAGGTCATACAAGTGCCAAAGATAAGAAGTGTTACGAGAGTAACAAACACAAAAAAGAATGAGGAGAGAAAGGACGATGGATGTTTGATAGGAAAGATGAAGCAGTCCACACTAGAACATCTCCCCATCACCCACTTTTTAAATGTTTTTAAATGATGCGCCCCCCCCTCCCCCCCCCATTGACAAAATTTTGACCATTTAGAAGGTGGGCTTCCGACCCTGTCCACTGTCAGGGCCAACCCAAGCAGCATAGGGAAACATAATAAAACACATTGAACTGTTTTGTTCTTGGTTTGGGAAGAGTTTTACAGCACTCACAACACAAATAGGTCATATAAGTGCTGGAGATCAGGTGTTGCCTGAGAGTGACATACAAAGAAAAGAAAGTTTAGAAAGAGGAGAGATAAGAGCAATAGACGTTTGATAGGAAAGGAGCAAACCACATCAGAACACCCGCCAACCACCCTTAAAGCTAGACAGAGAAAGGTAAAGAAAAACTAACAGCTTCCTAATGCTTGGGCACACAAAATGTTTTCAAATACAGCAGTGAGGACTTTTCTTCGCCGCTTCTCAATATGTTGATAACGTCTCTTTAGTTTAAGCTAAGAGTTTTACAGCACTTGCAACACAAATAGGTCACATAAGTACCAAAGATTTAGAGGTATTAAATAAAAACATTAAGAAATAAAGGAGGAAAGATATAAGGATGACACATGTTTGATGGAAAAGAAGGAGCAGACCACATCAGATCCTTTATAACATTCATAATTTTTTTCTTTTTAAAACGAAAGGATCTGACACATCGTTGATCAAGTCTCCACCAACCTCCTTAGGCGTCTTCTTTCCATTCTCTTTCTTCTTTCTTGTTCTCGTTGCTTGGCCTAAGGAGTGAAAAACAGACAAAGTTTGAGTTTGAGTAAAGAGAAGCACATTAACACAATACCTGTCATATAGTGCAGGGAGGAGGCAAGGCATAGGCAGAAACAAAAAAAGAGAATAAAAAGAAGTAGATGGCGCCCTCAAACCACCCCTACAAACAAAATGAACACACACACAGTTGAGAAACACGCTGCACACCACAGAGTGACACACAGTTATGCTACATGACACAGACAAAGGGAACATACAACACAGCCCAGGAACATGTTTTACGACACACACAGCTCAGTTCAGTTTTAATAAGTTTTTACGGAGCTCGCAACTGCATAAGGTCATATAAGCGCCAAGGGATAGATGTCAACAGAGAAGTCCAAACGGGGAATTCAGGCTTACTCTGCTCACCTCTCTAGCCTCAACAGCACAAAGTCTGCTAAACGGGGAATCCAGGCTTACTCTGCTCACCTCTCTAGCCTCAACAGCACAAAGTCTGCTAAATGGGGAATACAGGCTTACTCTGCTCTCCTCTCTAGCCTCAACAGCACAAAATCTGCTAAACGGGGAATCCAGACTTACTCTGCTCACCTCTCTAGCCTCAAGAGCACAAAGTCTGCTAAACGGGGAATACAGGCTTACTCTGCTCACCTCTCTAGCCTCAACAGCACAAAGTCTGCTAAACGGGGAATCAGACTTGCTCTGCTCACCTCTCTAGCCTCAACAGCACAAAGCCTGCTAAACGGGGAATACAGGCTTACTCTGCTCACCTCTCTAGCCTCAACAGCACAAAGTCTGCTTCGACTATCAAGGCATCCTAGAAATAGTAGTTCACAAGAGAGTGACAAATATACAAAAGAGGTAGAGGAAAAGGGAAAATAGCAAGGATGAGGAAAGAAAAAGCAGCAGTTTCCCCAACGTTGTTCCGGCACAGTATGAGCACGACATTGATAAATCAGCCCATTTACCATTCTACTGTACATAAGAATGGTTCAGAAACACAAATGAGCACACACAACTCAGAAACTTGCAGCACGACACAGACATGAGACACACAATCCCTCAGTTTTTATCTAAAAATTTCACATACTGAAAAAGACATCTAGCTACAGGCTCAAACACTAGAGCTACAACAACAACTACTATGACAACTAATACAACAACAACAACAACAAGACACTCACTGTCTTCATCATCCCCATCTTCCTCGCTCTCCTCCTCCTTCTCCTCCTCCTCCTCGCTGTTCTCCGTGTCACTGGACGATTCATCGGGCTTCCCCTTGGCCATGTCTTTCTCCAGCTTCTCCCTTGCATTGGTGCACACTGACTGGAGCACGATAGAGTCTTCGTAGATCTGTGACACACAAACAGACACACAAATAAACAAACAGGTGCATGATAATATCTTCGTAGATCTGTGACACACAAACACACTGTAAACTCAAAGGAAACCTCGTAGATTTTTTAAATTTTAGTAAGAGTTTTACTTGCAACACATCTAGGTCATATAAGTACTGAAGATTTAGGGGTTACTAAAAAGTAACATACCAAGTTTTGTTTTAGTAGAGGTTTTACAGGGCTTGCAACAGCATAAGGTCATATGAGCGCCAAGGGGTGGATGTCAACAGAGAAGTCCTTACAGGGAATCAGACTTACTCTGCTCACCTCTCTAGCTTCAACAGCACAAAGTCTGCTTCTACTATCAAGGCACCCCGGAAATAGCGGGTCACAAAAGTGTGACAAACATACAAAAGAAGTAGATAAAAAATGACGATAGTAAGGATTAGGAAAGAAAAAGCAACAGTTCCCTGTTGTAGTTCAGGCACAGTTATGAGCATGACATTGTTGGATCAGCCCATTTACAATTCTACTGTGCATTAGAACGAGAAAAGTCCCCCCTTTGGGAATGGACTTATGGCCTAAAGACACTTCAATCAGTGGCACTGCCCAGGGGGTGCAACATACAAAGAAAAGGAGGAGGAAAGATAAGGACGGTAAATGATTGATAGGACAGAAGGACCAAACCACACCAGAGCACATGCCTACCATCCACACAAACAAACTGGCAGACAGACATGTCCCTACAGTGAGTACAAATTAACTAATGTTTTTATACATAAAAGTATTTTTACGACCTCGTCGACAAAATTTATATTATTTAGAAGGTAGACTTCCCACCCCGCCTGTTAGGGCCAATCCGATTTAAGAGGAATATAACATCTCAGCAGAAAGACCGAGCTATTCAGTAAACATTTCTGTCCACCCAGGAACCAAATTCAAATTATGACACACAAGTTTGACACGTCCCCACAGACAACATTATGTAACAATAAAAATAATAATAATTTTAGATAGCATTTGTAGGGCGCGAATTCCTGCTCAACCACAAGCTATATGCACTTTACAATCTATACTATTACCCCAGCAGACCTGATAGCGTTCTGAAACAATCTCAACTTCCTGGGAAGCATACAATGCAAGCTGCCTCTTAACCCTCTGCGTGCGCATCACGACCGGTCGTGATGACTCATACCTCCCTTCTGCACGCATCACGACCACCGGTCGTGATCTGACATGAGTGTAGAAACTATACCCCTGACATGATAATGGCCATTTTTTAAACTCCTGGTGACTACAGTCCACCAGAGCAACGTTTATTAGTGCCGCTGGCCGCGAATTTCTCACTCTGGGATCGGTTGGGAGTTTTTTATCGGCAATTTTCTGGGATATTGTTTACAGTTTTCAAAATGTCGGATTCGTCGGCTGATTTAGACTCAGATTTACCCAACATTTTCCTGGAATCGGACCACTGTGATAAAGAGTTAGAAGGATTAGGTCCTTAAATAAAAGATTTAGATCTTCGTGAGAAAGATGGGGATATCGTGTCGTAGATCTAGATCTAGCAAGCTTTGTTTGTTTGTTTTTGTAAAGTGTTTTACGGCGCTCGCAATTGCATAAGGTCATATGAGCGCGCGGGACACACCTAATATTTTCAGTTGGTAGGAAATTTTGAATTTTGCCCGGGTGGCGGCCGAAGCCTACTCTTATCGACTTTAGACCACCAAGGGATCTTTAACGTGCGCAACTTGCACATGGGTCCTCCGAGATTTTTCGCCCTTGTCCGAGAAGGCTAGGTGTAGATCTTTCCTACCAGAAGATCGGGGGTGTGGCTGAAAGACAGCAGTAAGAAGAAGCGAAGGAGTAGCAGTAGAAAGGCTGCAGAAAAAATCAGGAGCCCAGAGGAAGGGGCAAAGGAGGTGAGGGGGTGGGGGCAGAAGGAGGAGACGAAAGCAGACAACAGAACATTGCTAGAGAGCAGGAAATGAGGTGAAAGGAGACAAATTTAGAGAAGAAAATTTTTCTGTTGCTACCCAGATACAAACCCGGTACCTTTTGAATGAGAGGCCAACAGCTTAACCTCTAGGCCACGAGAGCCTCGATCTCAAAGCAGGCTGCACTAAAAATGATGAGGGTTTTGATACCAACAACAACATCATTAAAAAACACACCTGACCAGACATAAGGGTAGTTCATTGTTTAAGACACATTTTTCCTTCTTACTGTAATTAGAAATTATGATAAAAATGAAAGATATGAGCTTTTTTTATAGCCATGTTGAAAATTACCATTTTTCTAAAATGAACCTAGTGCTGAAGGGAAGTAATGGTAAAAATGGCTTAGCGCTTAGAGGGTTAAAGGCGCTCAAACACGTAAGTAGACCACTGACCACAGATCCCTCCATGTTGAAGCTCTGAGCGTTCTGGCACAGCTCCATGATGTCTGCCTCTAGTTCATCAATGGTGCGGTAGCGGTGCGTGGAGATGCGCGTCTAAAAGAGGAACAAAGGGCAAAATTATCCATTTTTTCACTTTTTTAAAAACAAAAAAAGCAGGGGGGAAAAAAAAAAAAAATCATCAAGTGTATTAAACACCTTCTTTAAAGATCCTGTTATACAATCATTATCTTTTATTCTGGTAGTTCGAGTTCAGCAAAATACTTCATTTTTCTAAAAGAAAGCCACATCTAAATCCACATATAAAAATATTTAAGAAAATGGAAATTTCAATGAGGTTAAATTGAAACTGTAATAAGAATAATGGTAAGTTATATTACAGCCCTGTACAATGCAGAATTATCACTCAACTGATGAATCAAAAGACAGAAAATGCACATTGTGAGACCATTTAACAATAACAACACCTTTTATGTCCATTTAAAAACATTTGTGCGGATTTAACTGAAAAATGATCCAAGGCACAAAAAATGTAAATTTATAGTTTCAACAGATACTCACAAATATCTCGACTTCTAGTCCAGGAAAATGAGAATTTTTTTTCCCATCAAATGAACAAGCTTTAAGATTATATCAATAACTCTATATTATGCTCAAAAGTCGATGAGCATCCGATTCCATTGCATCATGACACATTTGTTGTACTTGTCTTCTTCTTAGATCATCGCAATTCCTGTATCATTTGAAGATCTTAAACGTCTCAGTTATATATTTTTTTAAAGTACTAAAGCACTACAGTTACATCCTCATTGACTCTTAGTATACCGAAGGTTATTCCACAGATTAGTACACACTTAATTTCATCATCCAAGTCTTCAGCACCAAAAACTACCCTAAAACTCCACTTCTGTTTAACGTATCCGCATAAAATAAACACAAAATTGAGTAAGAATGAAAGCTCCACGCAATAAACATACAGTTTGATCACTATAGATCTGATGGTTTACTGGGGTTTGGTAGATTTATGTCATATGTCTCTAAACAACTGAGCAATACTGTGTGCCAGTTATCTTTGTTTCAGTAAAGGCAAGCACATATTGACACAATAATGCTCATTTAGTACTGAGAAAAAGTGTGACAGACAGAAACAACAGAGGGAAAGTAAAGAAGTAGGACAGACAAAGAATTCTAGAAAAGACAAATATTGAACCAGCAGGGAACAAAAATCGGACAGAAACATTGTCCTCAATTATACGAGTTTTACAGGACTTGTAACGCAAAAAGGTCAGTTTTTTAAATTTGTTTTAGTAAGTGTTTTACGGAACTTGCATCACAATAAGGTCATATAAATGCCGAAGATAAGAGGCGTTACGAGAGAGTAACAAACACAACAAAGGAGGAGGAGAGATAAGGACGAGAGATGTTAGACAGGAAAGAAGAAGCAAACCATACCAGAGAAAACACCAAACACCCACTAAGAAAGGCCATAAGTGTCGAAGCTTAGGAGTAGCTAAAGCGTAACATTCAAAGAAAAGAAGGAGGAGAGATAAGGAAGATAGATGTTTTATAGGAAAGAAGGAACAACGCACACCAAAGCACCCACCAACCACCCCAGTTCCCTGTGTACACAGAACACATCATTGGGAACACACTCAACGCAGCACTCAGGTACCCACTCACAACACATTCACTCAGTACATCTACTGTAAACAGGGTTTGTTTTGCCCACTCTTTTACTTCGTGTATTGCCCATTTCGTTTTCCACAAACGCTTTGATTCTCCATTCGAGTCACCTTGTGTCATGAATTTTAATGCAGTAGCACCCCTCTAAACATTTAAAAAAACGACTTACATTCCTAAACTTCAGCAAAAAATCTCCGATTCAAGTCATGCATGACAAAAACCCTGAATACAGTAAGTTCTTGACTTGAAAAATAAATCAACAGTTATGGTAGGAGAACATTTGTGAAAAAAAAAAAGAAAACTTTTTAGAGAGGCGACAAAACAAAACCAAACTGCCAAACAGAAAATGAAAATAATCTTGTGAACACTGACAGTTACTTTGTGATTAACAAGACAAGCTTTTTGTTAATTTTTAAGGAGATGGTGAAAGATAGAAAAAATGTTACTGGCTCAAACAGCAAAAGCCCCAGTCAACATTTTGGTAGCTGTCAGTTCACCACAGATGCCACTCCCCCAGAAATGGCTCGAGAGGAAGGTTGAAAAAATGAGAGAGGAAAGTGATCTATGATGAATGGCGGGTGAGACTTACAGAAATCTTCTTGAAATCTATAGGTTTCTGAATGATTTCGTAGTATTCCGGCATGAGCTTCCTAGACGGTAGTTGCATGAACATGCTACTCAGTGCCCGACCGTCACTGGAAAACAAAACATACAAGTCTGCATCTGAGCAAAACCGGGCCAAGTACATGGAGGGGGGGGGACACGGGAGGACACACCCAGGGCTAAACAACAAAGACAACAACAACAGCATCTTCGCACCTTACTTCTAAACCAAACGAGAGGATTTTCCACCATTTGACTTTAGGCTGGGGTTCACTTACACTGATTTTCTTGAAGTCCAAAGGGTTGGGTATGATTTCATAGTATTCTGGGGCTGCCTTGCGTGAGGGCAGTCGCATGAACATGGTGCTCAGCACCCTTGAATCACTACAAAGACACATAGAACAGAGTCCAACCCTCCCGCATGGATTCAAACATTCACAACAAAACAACCAATTTCTAACGTAAAAAGCACACCACCTTTCCTAACTTATTTTTTTAGAGAGCACAAACTCCTACACATCTTTTCTTAAACTCAAAATAAAGAAGATTCTTTTAGGCAAATTATAAACCTTAAAAACAATAGAAGGTAAAAAATTGAAAAAGATCATCGTAAAATTAGAATACTGGTAACAAAAAAAACTAATTCAGACACATCATCTTAAAATTAGAATAAACAAGAAAGATCTAATTCAGACAAATCATCAAGCTTAACATAAAAGCAAAAGTTAAAAAGAAATAACAAAAGCAGAAAAGTCAACATGTAACTATAGCATAGCAGCAGTAGCAGTGTGGATAAAGTGAGCAGCTGACATTGTGTGGCCACTGTGTGAGTGGAAGAAACAGTAAATACAAACAGAAATCTCATCAATCAAAATTTGATCTCTCTATGCCAGGAGAAAGGGAAAGGGTGCATGTAACCCCCCCCCTCCCCTCCAAGCCAGGGTGAGAGTGGTGAGTGTAGGGTGAGGGGCAAGAAAAGGCAACAAAAGCTAGAACCCCCCAAAAGCAACACTCAATAATCAAACATTAACAAACAGATCTAATTGTCATTCATATTCTCTTTTGTTCCATCTTAATGTTGAAATATCATTATACATACTCATTCACATTCTCATAGTCAATGACTGATACGAAAGAGACTACTAACACGGCACCCAAAAGCTAATGGGATGGATTTACTATAGAAACTTTTTTTTACATGTAAGAGTTTTTATACCCCCATTGACAAAATTTAGATCATTTAGGAGGCAGGCTTCTGCCCCTGCCTGTCAGGGCCAACCCAGGCTGAAAGGGATACAACATCCCAGCAGAAAGACTGACGCACTGGATAAAAAATTTCTACCCACCAAGGAATCAACTCAGTTTTGCCTAAAAAAGCGAATAACCGCTATACTGAAGGTAAGGGTTATAGACTGCTCCTAACTGCATAAAGCACCCACCTGTCTTTGCTATTGATAGCATTGTCATAGAGAACAAATCTACACACCTGTCTTTGTAATTGATGACAATGTCACAGAGAAGAAATCTACACACCTGTCTTTGTAATTGATGACAATGTCATAGAGAAGATATCTACATAACTGTCTTTGTAGTTGATAACAATGTCACAGAGAAGAAATCTACACACCTGTCTTTGTAATTGATAGCAATGTCATAGAGAAGATATCTACATAACTGTCTTTGTAATTGATAACAATGTCATAGAGAAGAAATCTACACACCTGTCTTTGTAATTGATGACAATGTCATAGAGAAGATATTTACATAACTGTCTTTGTAATTGATAACAATGTCATAGAGAAGATATCTACATAACTGTCTTTGTAATTGATAACAATGTCATAGAGAAGAAATCTACACACCTGTCTTTGTAATTGATAACAATGTCGTAGAGCTTCTTCATCATACGCGTCAGTTTCGGAGGGTTGGGCTGTTGCTTCTCCAGCGGAGGCCGGCCGCGCCTTTTCTTCTCTTTGGGCTCGTCGTCAATGATGGGGGCCGACTTCTTCTTGCTGGTGCTGGGCGTGGCAACCTCCGACTTGCGTTTTTTCGCCTTCTTGGGCTTCTTAGCCACTTCTTCCACCACCTCGTCCAAGTTTCCATCTTCTATCGCCTGTAGACATTTAGGTACAGTTTAGAACATGATCTTAACTAATTGTGCCCGGCGCAACGACTCAGTCTTTGTTTTTCACATGGTTTTATTTAACTATTTGCAACAATATTTTTGTGGCGTGTATTTGGGTCAAGATGGGAAGCTTAATAGCTAGTTCCGTAGTTAGTCGGCTTCTTAAACTGAATTTAGCAAGTGTATTTTTAGCCTGAAGCAACTACGATCGAAATATGTTTGCCTGTTTATTTCCACAGGCAACAATGGTGTATGGCAACAGTTCACGCAAAACGAAAACTGTGTAACACTTTTCTTTATTTCTCTGTGACAACAAACAAAGCCTTACTATGAGCAACTGTTTCTCTGTGACAAACAAACAAACCCTCACCCACTGTTTCTCTCTGGTAAACAAACAAACAAACCCTCACCCTCAGCCACTGTTTCTCGGTAAGCGAGTCGGAGTAGTCCACCTCCTTCCTGGCGCGGTTCCCCCGCCCAAACAGCTTGTCCTCCTCGTCCTCTATGGTCAGCCGCTCCACCTCCTTCACGTCCTTGATGATCCAATCGGGCAACTCGCTCTCCTCCATCAAGCGAGGTTTCCTCTGGCCATCCCTGGCTTCGCTGCGCCGGCGGTCCATGTCCATTTTCTACAGTAGGAAAAAGTGTAAGCGTATGGGTTTGATGGCTCTATCAACACAGTTAGCTTATTTCTAGCTCCGTTCCACTACGACTTGATAGATCTGTTTCTAGACAACTGGACAGATCTGTTTCTTCATCACTAGATAGATCCTCTGTTTCTATACATTTTATAGAGCTGTATTTCTGTACAACTAAATAGATCCGTTTCTATCTGACTGGATAGATTTCTGTCCCTACAAGACTAGATAGACTTGTTTCAACAGGACTAGATAGATCAGTCATTATCTCATTGGATACACCTGTTTATATAACTAGATAGATCAGTCACTATCTCACTGGATACACCTGTTTATATAACTAGATAGACCAGTCACTATCTCACTGGATACACCTGTTTATATAACTAGATAGATCAGTCACTATCTCACTGGATACACCTGTTTATATAACTAGATAGATCAGTCACTATCTCACTGGATACACCTGTTTATATAACTAGATAGATCAGTCACTATCTCACTGGATACACCTGTTTATATAACTAGATAGATCAGTCACTATCTCACTGGATACACCTGTTTATATAACTAGATAGATCAGTCACTATCTCACTGGATACACCTGTTTATATAACTAGATAGATCAGTCACTATCTCACTGGATACACCTGTTTATATAACTAGATAGATCAGTCACTATCTCACTGGATACACCTGTTTATATAACTAGATAGATCTCCGTTTCTACACCAGAAATGCCAAATGATTTTTGAAAAAAACCACCTGAAAATGAGCGCAGCATCACACCTCACCTAAAACGAACCTTGTAAAATCTTGAAATGAGCAAACAAAAACATTTCTCCTACCATTCCCCTTTCCTTTGCAAGTGTATGAAAAAAACGGAAAAAGTCGGAAAAACCGGAGATTTGGCATCCCTGTTACATGACTAGATAGATCAGCTATCTAACTGGATACACCTGTTTATATGACTAGATAGGTCTCTGTTTCTACATGACTAGGTAGATCTGTTTCTACATGACTGGATAGACCTCTGTTTATATGACTATATAGATCAATTTCAATCTGACTGGACAGATTTCAGTTTCACTTCAACTATGTAGATCATTGTCAGTAAAAAGTAGTAGTAAGGAGATGTGTCTATCTGCGTTGCGTGCAGAACCCACCTGGTAACTCTCAAACTCATCCTCTGTCCTGGCCAACATCTGGTTGATGGTCTCGTCGTCAGGGAACTCATCTTCTTCCTGAGAGTGGAGGAATCGGTCACAAAGTCATTAACGCAATCGACACAGTCACGTTCAGTAACGCGATTATGACACAGACAATCTCCACGGTCACACCCAAGATCATGATTATAACACAAATGAACAAAAAATGTTCAGTCCCAATTACAATCACGATTATATCACATATAAATTATCAACATAATCGCATGCATGATCGTGATTATGTCACAAACAATCAATATAGTTTCACTCACACAATCAACACAGTCCCACTTACAATCATGATTGTCCCCACTCACGACAATGATCATCACACAATCCACAATTCTGGTCAAAATTGACACTTTTTCAATCCCATTTGTTAAAAAAAATGTTTTCCCCTTTAAATGTAGGTTTTTACACTCTCATCAAAACAATTTAATCAAAGAAGGTCTGCTTCCGACCCTACCTGTCAGGGTTTAACTGGGACGAGAGGGATACAAGATCCATTCATTCCCCACTTGGGAGTTCACTTATCTTCACAAACAACTCACCTCGTCTTCGTCCGCCTCTTGAGTGAGCAAAGCCTGCAGAAACTGCTTTCTTTCCATCGTGGTCGACTTGTTGTCGAACATGCCAGCTTGGATGACCTTAGAGTCCACGTTGAGCTTGTACCTGGCGGCAGCCTGGATGCGCTCCTCCACAGAGTTGACCGTCATCAGACGCAGGACTCGAACCTCATTCTTCTGACCAATACGATGGGCTCTGTCCTGGGCTTGCAAATCCTTCACAACAAAAAAAACAATAGTTCTTTTCTGTAAAGGAGTTTTAGGTAAGTAAAAGTAGCTTTCTCTAAGTACAGTTGAACCTCCTCTAACGGCCACCAGAACAGGGCAGTCACCTGAACAAACGGCCACTTCTCATATTCCCCCTCCCACTATACTGTCTTATGTTGGACATCCTGTACTGTCCTACTTCTTGGACATACCACAAACAGTCAAGATGACTGTAAAACCCTACGCCGTCGAACCACTAAAACGTAACACCAGACAGCCAATAGGACTGTCCTACGTTGGAAATCCCGTGCTGTCCTACCACTACAAATAGGACTGTCCTACAACTAAAATATACCACATGACAACCGATACGACTATAGTATGTGGGACACCCCGCACTGTCCTACCACAAGAACATAACACACGACAACTAATATGACTGTCCTACGCGGGACATTCTGTACTGTCCTACTACTAGGACACAACGCGCGACAACCAACCTGATGAGGGTTCCAGTCCGAGTCGAAAATGACCACTGTGTCAGCTGTCTGCAGATTCAAACCCAGACCTCCCGCTCTGGTGCTCAGCAAGAAGATGAAGTAGGGCGAGTCCTTGGAGTTGAACAAGGTCAAGAGTTGACCTCTGTCCTCTGACTTGGTCGTACCATCCAAACGTAGATAGCGGAATCCTGAGAAACAAATGAAAGAATTAATAACCACAGGCAAGCATCAGGCTGTCTCTCGCACCCCTTGTTTCTCAAAACCAGAAACAAGAGTAGCCTGGAGACTAGGACTCATTTTTTTTTCCCGTTTTAGCAGGAGTTTTACATCACTTGCAACACACATAGGTCACATAAGCGCTGAAGATTAAAATTGCAACTATAGAAAAAGAAAAGAAGAGAGATCAGGACGATCTCCCCCTTCCCCCTCCAATATCCCCCATACATCATTACAATCATCGTCCAACCCCGCCTGTCAGGGACAAGCCAGGGTAAGAGGGATACAACATCCCAGCAGAAAGACTGAGATACTCTATAAAAATGTCCACCCACTCAAGGATCGGAACTCAGGATCTCCTGCATGCGACTGCAAAGCTCGTTAACAACTACACCACAGAAGGTAGTCTTCTAAAAGGTTCAATAACTTCAACATAAAAAGGACTTACCTCGGTAAACAAAGTAGTCCTCCATGATGGTCATCAGCGAGGTCATCTGACAAAAGAGCAGGACCTTGTGGTTGCTCGCCTTCAGCTTGGGCAAGATTCTGTCCAGGAGCTCAAACTTGCCCGACGACCGGTACAGCTCAGGTCTGGAACACACAGCAACATCAATGTGCAGGTGAGTACACAAACGCAAGTGCATACGCGCTCCCACACACACACTCACACATAAACACGCACCAACACACACAGTGTACAGTAAGCCCTTGGTACATATAAGATTCCAGTATACAGTAAGCCCCTGGTTAGTAAAAACACAGCTAAATTGATACAAAGATCTATGTACGCAGTCAGCCCCTGGTACATATAAACATGACTGGTATGATACCAAGATCCCACATTTTGTAAGCCTCTAGTAAGCACTAACACGACTGATTTGACACAAAGGTTGACGTATATCGTAAGCATCTATAACACACAACCACCACCGATTTCACATAAAGATCCCAGAATAAAATAAGCCCCTAGACGACTGATTTGACACAAAGATTGACGTATATCGTAAATTCCTAGAACATATAAACATCACTGGTTTCACACAAAGATCCCAGAATAAGATAAGC